TAGATGCAAATACGTGTTCATCTTGACTATCATTACATATTTTTAAAACTATATGTTTTTGAGTTTTATGTCTTTTAGCATGTTCGAGCGTAACCGTTTGTCCTTCGATTGTGGTGATTAAACTTTGAACTGCATTTCGATATTCCTCAGATAAAAATATATGTTTATATGTTTTTCGTATGGTTTCGGCGGGAACATAATTGTCACACGTATCAAAAAACATCAGACAATCCGAGCGGCATTCCTTGAGATATTGCTCGTACTCTTCTCTGTCTGTCATATTGTCTTCGTGCTTGTTCTCTTCGTCTTTTGTCGCGTTTTGCTTGTTTTCGTTGCAGATATTCTTTTCTTCGTCGTTCTTTCTCTTTTCTAAAAAATCATTTTCCATTTTAATACGTAGTGCATCAAAAGCGTGTACCATTTCATCGGAATTAAATGCGTTTTCAAGTCTTTCGTCTAAAAGAGCTAAATCGTGGTAGTGGGGTGTATCGCGTCGCCGTGTGATTTGTCCGATTTCAATGGTCATGGGTGTATCTACGTACCTACGTAAATAGAAATTCATACTTGATAGCAGAGGAAATTCGCGTCGGGCATAATCGTATTTTACACGGGGTGTTGATACATATTTAGGGTTTTGATGTTGCCAGGCTCCAGGGGGAGTCACTGTTTTTGCGGACGACTCGGATACAGCGTTCGTCTCCGCAATCGCACTGTTCTGGGGTGACGCGCATGTGTGTGTAACAATAGTATTTGGATTCATGATCGTCTTGTACAGCGGCGGGAATAAATTTAATGGGCTTAGTATAGGGTGTTGGGGTTCGTCGTGATTTTTTCGAGGGTTTTTTCACGGGTAAACTTGATGCTGGTGGCTGTGGTGGTGGGGCCTCTTCTGTATGTTCTAGTTCGGCTTCTTCCGTTTTTTTTACGATCGTAAAATATAACATGCGACTAATACTTGCAGCCATACATTTATTACAGCCTTTCGTATTGCAAGGGTTGACCGGTAAAGGAGCTTCTGTTCTACACTCGCTCATCTTGTTGTAAAAGATTTTTTTTCGGATCTACGCAAAACATGGGGTCTAAATATTATGCGGAATTGGCTAGCGATAGTAAGTTTTGGGAATCTAAAAAAGTATTATTCGCTATTTAATCGAGTTGTAAAAAAAGTATATATTTTTTGCATTTAGTTGGTGAAATGTTTGGGAAATCATGTTCATTAAAAAAAACGTTGTCCTGCGCGTGTGTTACTTGCGCAAAACGATGTTGGGAATCGGGAAATTGGATTTGTCGTGGGAAAGAATGTTTTTGCGAGGAACGTGTAGAGGTGTGTGTGGAACATGTATCGATCGAATCTAACAAATTACGTGTGAATTACGTGTGTGCGGATCGAGCTTGTAGTTTTAAAATAAACGCATTCGATTCAAATTTTTTAATTTACACAAATATTGTGAGTAATGTAAAGGATTATATGTTTTTTCACGAACGTAATATTTGTATGTGTAAACGACCTGTTCGCGCAATAGTAGAACGCGTGACGGTGGGTTGTGGCGTGACGGACCCCACAAAAGAGAAATCGATTGATTTAAATAATGAATATCAATTGTTGTTTGTGTGCGACGAGAAAAAATGTAGCTATCGCAAATCTTTACCCCAAATTGTCCAGGATCGGGGCGACAAAATAAGATGTCTTTGTAATGCATTCACTCGCTACGATGCAGAGAAAAAAACATTTTCGTGTGCTCGCAAAGTAACGTGTGGGGTTTGTTTTCACGAAATGGATTCGTTAACGTACATACATACAGAACAGGCAAAAAACGGTTTGGAAGATTCCGCATGGGTGACCATCAGACGTCGTGCGCCCGATATATGTGACAAACAGAGTATATTAAAATACCGTATCGATGATGATTTACATGGCGAACTGTTGTACGAATGTAATGTAAATAATACGTGTAGAAAAACTGTACGCGATATTTATGTACCAATGATGTATTAAATTTTTTCTAAAACAATTTTTTTACAAGTTTTTTTTGCTTATGTCTAAAATACTTGATCCATCCATTTTTTCCCTACAAATCCTCCCCGTTGTTTTAATCGTCCTCCGCGTTGCCCACCCATCCCCAGCATACCCAACAATAGGGGTAAAAACCCGCCTTTTTGTTTTTTCCCAGAACCGCGTTGATACCAATTAACACCGTGACTTAACATTATAGGTCGTCTCGACCATTCTCCTTGTACGATACCGCCTACGCAAGATAATAGTTTAGCGTATTTTTCCGACCCTTTGAACCCAAGACATTCTTTTACGTAATCGACCACCTGTTTGTTTATCGGGGTCACTGAATCCGTAGTTTACGGAATCGGTTAAAAACCCACCTTTTTGTTTCTTTGTTTTTGAACGTTGATATTTTTTACCCTTAAAATTACCCCCTTTTTGTTGTCGACGTTTAGCCACGGCTACGCAACAGGGAAATGTGCTGCCGGTTAAAAAAATAAATTATATATATGTAAATGTACACGACGCGTTATTTGATAAATTATATCGTGTAAAATGTGTATGCGGTTATGAATTTGAATTTCAAATTGCTTTTGGGACACCTGTATCGTACGATAAAGATTCAACATTATTTGAAAAGTCTGACCATAGTGGTAGTTTTTTTCTTACTCGGGGTGTCGAAAAGAAACTTACGATACGTTATGATCAACATACAATACATGTGAGAACGACCTTTCCTTGCTGGCAATGTCGTGAGACAATCTATTTACACACTGTTCGCTAAATGTTGGTTATATTCGAGGAACATTTGTACAACGATTGTGTCGTGTTCGAATCTTATTGTGGTTCGATTGATTCACAGGGTTCGTTCGTATTTTCAGTACTTTACCACGGATTCAAATTCAACGCTCATCTTTATTTCGACAGTTATTTGACACATGTAGATTTACACCGTGTATCGGGGAGCAATACGTACACGGGCGCGTTGGGGGAGCACGTGGATGCCGTTGTTGATGCCTTTTGGCTATATTGTTATCACGAAATAAACGTACGAGATATTTTTGATCCTGAAGAGACGATTCGATGAAAATTATTTTCAAAACATCGCATTTATTTGAGCGATATTCGAATTTGGCATGGATTTTTCTCGACGGCTCGGCGCAATGCAGGCGCTATTGGATCGGCAGCTAGTCGTTGTACCTCCTACTAGACAAATAGTATTAATCAACGAGGAAAAAATTATTACTATTAGCAAGTATTTAGATTTACATTGTTATAAGATCATCACAGACTACATGTGGTTTTTTTGCTTTAAGCTAACTAATACATTTCAAACCCTAACATATATGAACAATACTTATTTTAAATGTTTTATAGAGTATTTAGACGATAAACGCGTGGTGATTCTCGAACATAATGCACCTGATTTTACAGAAACATTTGTAGATTTATGTAATAATAATATGTTGGCGAATGTACGTAGCGGTATGTGTAATATTTACGCATATATCTTGTAGAGGATTATGATCACCCATTTACACAAACGTTGGCTTTTATTCGACTGTTGAATAAGTGTGAAAAACCATTGACAATAGTACGCAGTCGTAATCGTGATGCATTTGCTATAAGATTAACATGATGACTGCTATGTTATATATTCGAGGACCTTATCGAAATAAATATGATAATTATACTATTATGTATCAAGAAATGTTGTACGAATGTCATAAATATTGGTGTGTTAAACGCGACGGTGCAGATTTTATTTTATGGATGTATCAACGAAATAAAGAATTTCGTGTGAGAATGCATATTCATACGGGTAAAATATACGACGCATCGCATCGACTGCATGCGTATAGTTTTTACGTATCGACACGACGCGAGTATCAATATCAGTTGTATATTTTATATGCTTATTGTAAGCAGAATAAAAATACACCCTTCGTCCTATTGAAGGATATGATTCAAAAACATTTTTTACGTCAGGGTGTATATTTGGATAAGTCTGTTTTTCAATTAATTATTTTTATTCATTCATGCAATACGTGGTGGGAGTACGTTAACAATAAACAGCACGGTGGATTCTCGAACTGGGCTTTAATCGAATCTTTTTAAATGGCTTCTTCTACGGTTTTATATAGAGAATCTTTGTACATGTGTAATCAATCTTGGTTTGTCGAGCGCAGGGGTGACGATTTTGTATTGTGTATATATTGGGGAAACAAGAAGTTTCGAACAACAACGATTATACACACAGTGTCTAGAACCCGCACTCTTTTCGATATGTACTTGGGTTTAAATCATCATCGACATTTGTTTTTATTATATGACTACTGTGAACGTCATAAAAATATATCCTTTAGCGTGTTTAAAGAAATGATTCGAGGACGTTTTTTACGCGCTCGTATATGTTTGCATACATCTGTTTTTCGATTAGTTATTTTCTTACATACGTTCACAGTGCGCTGGAACTATTCTATGTCTTTTGAGAGGATTATTACTCGCTAAAATCTTATAATGACATACGTCGCACCTATACTTACTACCGACAAATGGTATGCACACTATAAGTTTCGTAGCGACGAAGAACTAAAACAATTTATACATTTAATAGATGATTTTGTGGGCGAATACGTTTACCCCCGAGCTCGACACATATTATTCCCTAACAATGCAAAAACAGATCTCGTGGATGTCATATGTATACTGTGATGGACCCCGTGTGGTTAAGTAAAGGTTTGGGTCAACGATTGTGGGCGTTGGGGGTTGCTCGATTAATTTGTGCAACGTATGGGTCGATGAGTTTTTCTCGTATAAATCGTAAATATGAATATATGGAAAAAATGTACGACAATGTGTGCGAAGTGGATTTAATTTTAAAAAATACAAAGGCTAAAAAAAATCTCGCAGTGGCTTTTGGGGGTTTCTTGGGTGTCTACGCACTGTATAAATTGACGAGTTTTTCAGTTTCGATTATTACCGATTGGTTGGGGTAGAAAACATGTCCTCCACGGTAAACTATAGCGTGTACGGAAAACATTACGCGAACGCTCAACATTTATTTGAAAGTTATGCGAATAAAACTAGTAAAGTCGGATGGTATGAAAAATTCGACAAAAAAGTTCACCTTGCATCAGGAGTACTCGCAAGAGGGGGTGAAACAAAATTTTTATATAAGACGTGTATTGCCATCACGACCGATGAACTGCTCGAGGTAGCCGAACAACTAAAGAAAGCAGCGCGCGTGCCAGGAGCAAGCAATGAATTCTGTATTTCAGAAGGTACAGATTACAAAGGTGACGAAACCAAATTGGTTCTTCGTGACAGTGATTATCAAGGTTTGGTATTATTGCATATGAACGCAAAGAAAGCAGATATTGTGGTAGCTGACGAGGATTCAGACGATCCCGATCCAGAACCCGTGAACGTCGAAGACGATGAAGCTGTTGAAGATGTGGAATGGTTTGATTGTTTCGAGAAGTTCTTTATCTCTAAACGTGATGATTGGAAGAAATTTGCCAAGATTATGTTGGCAATTCATCAGGATGTCACACACCTCAACGATGTTGATCGAGAATCATTGATTCCTCCTGCTGGTGAACCTCAGATGCAGAAGCAGATCGTTGGCCCCTCTACAACTTCTACAACGACCAAGGGTGGTGGAAAACGTGGTGCAGGTGGTAGTGGCGGTGGTACGCGCAAGAAATCTCACCCAACCAACGCAGAGTTGTTCAATCGTGAAGAACAGGTACGTCGTTTAAACCCCATATCCCCTCCACATTCTCCTCTACGTTCTCGTAGTGTTCAGCAAGTACGCCCCTTGAAACCCATACCCCCTCTACGTTCCCGTAGTTTGGACAACGATCGAAAGAAAAAATACAATAGACCCCAAAAACATGGTGTGCAAGTAACGTGGTCCGAGCCTTTAGTGAAAAATAGTTAAATTTATAAAATAAATATATTTTTTTCTAGAAGTTACCGCCAAAAACGGCGTTGGCAACTATTTTTCAATATATGCTCGCGGGTAGTACATTAGAAGAGACCGTTCTTAAGCATTTAGATGAATTAAATAGTGAAGCACCATTCGATTATGTGCAGTTAGCTCGAGATCAACCCGCCATATTGTTTGTGATGTACGAAGCTATTCAAGCTCAAATGGGGGACGACGAGTAAAAAGATTTGTATTTTATTTTTTCTCCACAGAACTGACGATGTCAAGTAAAAACATTAGTCGTGAACTGATAAAAAAAGCAGCACGTCTTTTGAAAGGTGAAAAACTTACGAATGAACAGCAAGCGGCGTATAGACTGCATGCTCAAAAACGTGTTAAATACAAACGTTTGAAAATTCATGTAACTAGACGTAATCAACAATGGAGTATTGATTTAGCTGATTTAAATAATTTGTCAAGATATAATAATCAATATCGTTACATGCTTGTGTGTGTTGATGTATATTCGCGTTATGGGATGGTAAAATTATTAAAGACTAAGTCCGCTCGAAATGTGGTGAATAAATTCGAGGAACTTCTTCGAGAACACGGCGTAACGGAAAAAGTTCAAAGTGACGAGGGTACCGAATTTTCTATAATCAAACGAGATCTTGCCGCAACGTTATGGATTTCGATTATTCTCTACGTTTAACCGCGAAACCAAAGCGGTTCATGCCGAACGTTTTATTCGGACATTTAAAGAAATGGTCTTACGTTCTTTGACAACGTTGAATTTAAAATATCGCTACGTCGATTATCTACCCATCGTCATCGAACGTTACAACGAGTCGCCTCACGCGGGTATATTTGACGCAACCCCGCATGACGTCTATGTCAGGGGTAAATCCCTTAATACCCGTAAGCTTTTGAAACGTATGCTAAACAAATCGCAACCCACGCGTAATTTACTTCACGAAGGCGATCGTGTTCGTTTGTCGCGTGTAAAAAACAATATTTTTGAAAAATCTAGTTTACAATGTTGGGTTCGTGAAAAATTTATAGTGTACAAAGTTTTAATCACTGACCCAGTTACGTACGAGCTGCGTGATGAAAAAGGTGAAAAAATAAAAGGTATTTTTTATCGTGAAGAATTACAAAAAATATGAACGTTCAAATCGTAAGCAATGCGCCGAACAACGAGGGCAGGGAAAACTATAATAATATTTTCACGATGCCCTTACCCGAAGAAATAGATGCAGAAAATCGTGATCGCGAGATACGTGTTTTAAATATTGCCTATCCACAAACGATCGAAAACGTTCACGAAAAACAATGCGGTATACATATTAAAATTAACATGGGGAATATTACACGAAGCAATCAAGTTGTTAAATATCAGACACCGATGATGTATTTACCCGCGGGACATTATGGTTTGGACGAGATGTTAGACTATCTCAACGAATTAGTTGACGAATATGACATGGTTTTTGTTAAACAAGACGGGGGACGTGTGGGTGTTAAATTTAACGGTGATATTCAATATGTTTACCAAACAATTGGTACACCCTATAGTGAATTGTCTGCTCCTTTTTCGGGAGGTGCTGAAACTTCATTTGATTTTGAAATGACCCCTAGTCTAGAGTACATGTTAGGGTTAAAAGAATGGGTTGTACATCCTGACATGATTGCTGCTAAAATTGGTCATTCCAAGGCAGACTTACCCTGGTTACAATTTATTCAAATTGCGGGAAACAAACAAAAACTTGAACATTTTACATTTTACGGTAAATATATGCCCGATTTAAGTAATGGGGTAAGTAAATTAATGATTTACTGTGACGAAGTGGAACAATCGATTGTAGGGGATACAAAAGCAAGATTATTAGCATCTGTACCCATTGATGTTGAAAAACAAGGTAGTCCCTATTTGGCAGTGTATGCTCCGCCAGACATGTCTCGGAAATTAATTAAGGGGCGTATTAACGCTTTACATATTGGTGTATATGATACACATTATGATCCGATAAATTTCAGTGCTGGAGTGATTACGTTGGAAGCTATCATATATTAAAAAAAAATGATGCGTCTTAAATTTGAAGTTGACAATAAACGACTTATTGTAAAAAAATATGTACTATGTGATCAATTCAAAGGGTTTACGCTAAATATTAAACCCCGAAAACGACATTATGTTTTAAATTCGATGCATACAGACATGACGGGTAATAATGAATTTGCAATCTATTATTGTCGTAAATATCAATTTTCCGATTGTCAAGATTGCGCGATCACTTATCGTAAATATTTCGGTAAAGGTGGTGAATTTTATGAGGTTAAGGGTATGAATGTATTTAATGGGAGAAATAAAGGGTTTGGATTGCAAAAATTACGTTATTTAGCAACGGTCAATAAAACGGATCCACATCTATATTATGATGGAGAAAAAAGAATCATGCCCTCGTTTATGTTTGTAAGCGATGTGCAATTTATAAACGAAAGCGTTCATTTTGAATTACATTGGGGCGACGATACGCAAAAAGGTGATTTGGCCGCACAAGAGGGAAAATATATTACGTTAGAATTTAGTATTTTTGAAGATGATTAAAGTAGAATTAACAGTTACAGACAAAAAGTTGATTCCTACAAAATATTCTATTTTGGATCCGTATCAAGGCATCAATTATAATAAACCCCAACGTCGTTATTATACGGTGAATAAATTATCGTGTAATTTTACGGGAGGTTGGGTATCTTTCACTCTTTATTATCGCCGTCATCACCGTATGAAATGGCTTGCTGATGCCTACGCACCTAAAACAATTACCTATCAACGGGGTGGTGTATATTATGAAATTAAAGGTATGAATTGGGCTTATAACAATCAAGAAATTCACGGTTTACACGAGCAAAGATATTTAACCACATTCGCCCAGAGCGATTTGTCTCTACATTATGGGGGTAAAAAAAGAAGATTACCCTCGTTTTTTTGTGTCAAAAGTCTAGCCGAATTAAAAGAACTTGTTTTTTTTCAATTGACATGGAGCGATGATGTAACTTCTACGTTGGGAAATAATAACGGTCAAAAAATTACTCTGGAACTTAATTTGTACGATAACGCCAACGAGTAAACATGTGCGACAAAGAGACCTATATTCAATATTTAAAAGGAGCTGGAGTACCCTGTCCCGGTACAAATTTATGTATAATAAGAAATGATCAAACGACAAAAAGTACAGAAGCGCGAGCACTGGACAAGATTGCACCTCCGAGTAAATTAAATCCGAATTATAAGAATCCCAGAACTCCCAAGGTGGGTAAAGTACAAACGCAACAAACTCGCAGAATTAATCCCCGAATTTTAGAACAACTACTTTATGGCGGCAAGTAAACGAAGAAACGCTGCAAAGTTTGCAAGACTAGCACTTTTGTTATCCGCATTAAAACATGCTAAACAAAAACAGGGAGGGAAAAAACGAAGAAAACGTTTGAGTAAAAAACAACGAGGGGGTGGTTTTGGGGCAGGAATGGCATTAGGAACAATGGCTCCGATGGTTTTAGGTACACTCGGCAAGATTTTAAAAATCAATGTATAAATAGAGTAACGAAATAAATTAGTTGCAAAAAAAAATCACGTGTGTGTGTATTTATATTCTCGCGCGACAATCTACGTCATTTTACTTATCACCATGATCGGTCGAGGGACTAAACGTGCGCGAGTTGATGACAGTGGAGCCGAAGAGGTGGAAAAACATGACGTGGGGTTTGTTACACCCTTGCAAATGTTCGCCACCTTTCCTCATAACATAACATTTGAGGAAACGCGTGAATTAAAACTTCTTGCCAATCCGGCAGCAAGTCCCGATTCAAACATGTATACTTTTATTCACAACCGGCAAGAATATGGTGTCATGCAGTTAGAGGATGCCACCATATCAGCAGATTTGCAAGTTACAACCGCAGGCAATGGAAATCCTGGCGCCGCCCTTAGAGTGGCACCCATGGCACGACCTTTAGCATTTGGTTGGAAAACGAAAGAAATATATGTAAACAACGATCTGGTGAATACCACCACTACACATGAATCAGAAATTAGCTATGTCAATGCATTTTTGACAGAAACACCCGACGGGCGGTATGATAAACGCGATTTGTGTTTGGGGTGGTACGATACTGCGGGTCACTTTGACGACACCGTGGGATTCCAAAATGGTACTGCGGTAGTCAACGCTGGGGGTCGTAGAAGAGCGAGGGCAATAAATCAAGGGGCAAGATTTAAATGTTATGACAAATTGGATTTGTTGGGTCATAATAAACGATTTTGTCCCACTTCTTTTGACGTTAAAGTGGAATTAACGAGATTGCCCGACAACAAATTTTCAATGGTGTCGATGCAAATGTTACAGCAAGCAAGATGAGGTATCATGATTTAACATTGACAATTCCTATGATGAAACCCGTCGCTCAATTAGCCGCTGCAATTAATGAATTGATGATTCAGAATTCGGAAGAATGTAAATTTTACACCACAACCTATCATTATGTGGGCAAACCGTTGGCTGCCGGGGCTCAGAATGTTCAGGTGAATGATATTTTTAATGGTGGACGACCTACACGATTTATTTGTTTCCAGAAAACCCAGGCGCGGTACAACGGCGATAACACGCTAAATTTTCACAGCATGCCATTTCCCGACATCAATCATTTTCAAGTGAAAATCAACGAAGCTAATATCCCACCGTTAATTACCAACGCGAAAGAAGCGTATTTAAATCTGGTTCGTGTTTTAGACAGACGTCATAGTCAAATGCCTGTGACGTATCCCGCGTATGAATCTGATTTTGGTATCATCGTAGTCGATTTAACGACTAATCGAGATAGTTACAATCAGGTTCTACCCAATTCGACGGCAGGTGTAGTGAGCGTCGATATAAAATATACTGCAGCATTACAAGCCGCACAACAATTGGTTTTTATCGGCGAGTTTAGAAATCAATTGTCCATCGGCTATAAAACGGCTGCCCGTAATAAATTCGAATTCTAAAATGGGTAAAATTAAAAAAAAAAAACGTTGCTGTATTAGAAAAGCAGGCGAAGCTATAAAATCAAACAGACTGTTAAGACCCCCAGACGGTAAAGTTATAAGTTCGTACGGTCGTTCATTGCCCACGTTACACGTTCACCCCGTTATTTCGCGATATGGCTGAACAAGACGATGCAGCACAAGTGTTGGGGGAAGAGGAACAATCGGAAGGGGAAGTTGAAGAAAATGAATCCTACGAAGGGGACGACGAACATGTCGAAACAAGCGACGAACAAGAAGAACCCGAAGAAAATAACGTAGAAGCGGAAAAATGTAGCGAAGACGAGATGTACATCGATGATTTATGTGAAAGCGATGACGAAAAAGATGAAAAACACGCTTTAAGCGACGAATTATTTAGTAAAGTACTTAGTGATTTAATACAATTAAAATCGCGTGATGATAAAAGAAAAAAATCACACCTTGTTCCGAGTGTAACAAAATTTTTAAACACAACCATTACAAAACGTTCGATTTCCAAAGATGTCAAAAAAAATATGCTTAATCTTTGTCAACATGTACATCGGGGAAAAATACCTGTGACTATATCAATTGATAGTAAACGTTTTCTCGGGCATTTGCTGGACAAGCGTACGCCCAAAGAAGACGTTAACGTCGCATTGAGCGAGAATTTATTAGTTCATTCGATATTACGCGAAGCTCTTGATCTAATAGCCAAAAAATGAGCGATAGCGTAAGAGAATTGACGTTGGTAGACTCGGAACGGTTTAATAAACTTATATCGACATTGCAACAAACTTTAGAACGTAGAACTATCATAGAGCAAGCAACCGCCCCTAACGAGGAAGAGGATTATGTACGAAGTCATGATGATGTAATGCAAAGTGTAAAAAATAAAGATGATTTAGCTGGTATGAAAATTGTGAATTTTTTAAATAAAAAGGATAAGCTAAAGGGAGCTCAAAAAGCAACGGGTCAACTTCCTAAACCCCCCGACGCTCCACGCCCTGACAGTGCGACACTGGGTCAACGTCGTGCTCAACGTCCCGGCACTACAGTTGATGCGGCAAACGAAAGAATTTTGGAAACTTTTAAACAAGAGGGTGTGTCACGGGGGGGTAGCGGAAATGTTGTACACAAGGGGACGCGTTATAATATACACTATACAGATTTGCTTTACGATCTAACACACAATACGACAGAAAAGACAGCCAATTTGACATCGATAGAATCTCAACAAGCCATGCGATTATTAAGAAAAATTAAAATGCCAGCCTCACACATTCGCAGTACACGTCTTCGAGCACAGTATATAAAAACTCGTACAACACGTGCGTTACCCGAAACACCTTCGACAAGTGGTGAAGAGGATTCCCTCGCGTCAACACCTTTTGGTCGGCCTATTTCAAGAATACCCCGACCCTTACAACATCATACGGTATCAGCACCCTATAATCGTCGATCACGTACCGCGCGTTACACACCCCATCAAAATTTGGATCGTGAAATTCGTAACCTATTGCGTTAGAATGACTAGTTTCATTTGTTTTGTTAGCAAATTTCTAGACACCGATCATTTAAATAATTTGGCACAAACTAATAAAATTCTTGCTCCCTATTATTTGGGGTGTTATCCCGCAGATATATATCCCACACCCGTACGTTCGTCTTGTTGTTGGATATGGAATATCGACGAGTCCGACAAACCCGGTACACATTGGGTAGCGGTTGTGAAAAATAAAAAAAATATCATTTTTTTCGATAGTTACGGTAAAACACCATCGTTTTTTAAACGTAACTATTGGCTAGACTATTTTCGCAATACACTTCATTGTGACGTCACCTGCCACTCCCGTATACAATATCAATCTTATATTAGTCGAACGTGTGGGGCATGGTGTCTACTATTTCTATGGAACTATTGGAGCGACGAAAACATATTCGTGCAAATGAACAAAAAGGACTTGATGGAAAACGAACAACTACTACGTACGCTAGTCTATAAGATTTTTCCGAAAATTGTAAATATCTACAGGGCAAAATGTCGTCAACACAAGGGACAAGTTTGTAAATCTTTTATGCAATCGTATTTATTAAAAAAATAATTTTTTACATGTCTGGTGTACATTCGTAAACTACAGTTTTTTCGCCGGGTAAAATACCCGTACGAATTCGTGTATTACTATAACCCCGCGGCGAACCGTCAAAGAAAATATATTCATATTGGCTTTTTTTCTCTACAGATTTAATTACTTTGTGAATTTTTTTCAAATTAATCTTTTTATTCGAAGCAATCATTTCTATATTTCGAAGGTCCGTGTAGTTGTTAAACATCATGTGATACTGGCTATTAACGCGAGCGTTTCGTAATTTACCATTTCCGTAATTTAAATCTTGACATACGAAAATAACCGACATGTTTGCATGATGGCTATCGCGTGAGGCTATATTATTTAAATTTTCCACATATTTCGTATCGGACGCCGCTAAAATCATTAAATCGTCTAGGACCAAAAGTGTAGCGTTGCCCAATTTATTTTTTAGTTCGCTGATGGTGGGAATACCCAGTGCACTGCAATCCACAAACTCGAATGTTTTTAATTTTGACTTTGCACTGTTCGTACGTATTATGTCTTTAATGTCGTCGTATTTCGTTTGGTCTGTACTGTACAGATAGACAAGTTTATCGGGTGTGGGTTTAATCACCTCGTCGATGTTCGTTATTATTTTTTTGATGAACTCTGTTTTTCCACATTGCGTGGGACCACACATGGTGAGCATGAACGGGTGGTGTAAGGGTAACGCAGCGTGATCAATGCATTTTTCCTGAGAAAAAAAAAATATAGAAACTCATAACCTGTAGCCGTACGGAAGTGTTGTAAAATCGTCACACACGATACGTTTATCGAATGTAAAATGAAAAGTTTTTTCTTTATTTTCCACCGCAATCGTTTGACTATTACACCGGGCAAATTCACGATAGACGACCGTAATTTTCTGACTATGGTCGCGAGAACACAACTTGAAATAGCATCGAAAGTAATTTTTTTTTTGCATCGCCCTGTAAACGAAAACCCTTAACATGCATCACTTCATCGACACGTTCCTCGCGTGTACCATCCTCTAACGTTTTAATATACCTATTTGTACGATACGAATAAGATTTTGGACCCGCCGCACAAAATTCCGTAATCCATTTTTCCGTACAATTTTTCTCGCTTAATTCATCGGTTAATTGCCCCAAATATTTACCCGTTTCCAAATATTTCCCCCGTGCCCGATCTTCCCTGTAAATAACCGAGTCCGTATCATAATATAAAACATTCTCCCGTAGTTTGTCAAGTACTGAAAATAATTCTAGACGTGCGTACGCGGTTACAAACGAAGCGATCACTACGTTACGATTACCCAGAGTTGTTAGTGTGCCTGATATTTTTCGGTGAGTTGTGCGTGCAATATTATCGCTTATAAAATCCAACGAGGTCACCTCGATCGTTTTATCGTTTACCAATTGTAACAAGTCGTCAAAATCGTCGAGAAACGACACCACGGTAGTGTCTTCATTCTGTGCTAATTTCCCCCATAATGAATTTAAAAGAGCTTTCATGACCGTACGTTGCCCCGGATTATGACCTATCTTTGAAGCATCTAAGTAAATTTGTTCGTGATCTGCATATTCTTGTATGTATGCTTGTAATTTTACATTATCAATGCTGCCATCGTCTTTTATACACTGACGCGGCATACCACTACTTTCCTGTTTTAATTTCATGAACGTATCGACGTACAAATCAAAAATTTTAGCACTATGGGGATAATGATAAACTTCGTAAATAGCAAGTATTTTATACCCGTGTTCGAGCGCAACGTGAACTTCTACACTCGTCCACGTACCGTACAGCGCTCGTTGCTCGTTATCGTGTGTACACTCGTTGCATTGATTGCGCGCGCAAGTCGTGCAAAGAGCAAACGTTAATTTCTCTAACCGTATAGGTAATACGGGAAATAGCATAGTAGGTGGGGCTAACATTTTACATTTAATTAACCCGAAAATTTGAGAAACATTTAATTTTACACATTTGTCAACACCTCGCGTAATCTCCGGATGTTTTGTCGGATAACGATATTTTTTTTGAACATACGGATATAAGGAAGTAAAGTCGTAATAACGAAGTTTCTGTTCCGAATCCTTGACGTCATGAAATAATATCGCCGGTGATGTTCGCCCGCCAAATAATGCGTCACAGGGATTTAAATTGATGTAGGTGAAATATTTCACGTGACCCAATTCAAGAATGGTATTTCGCGATAAACTACATTCTCGAATGTATTCGCATTCCCATTTTTCCACAACTGTGAAATGATAATCTTTAAAAAGATCGGTGATTCGACGAGTTTTTTCACGCATCACATAAAATCGTTGCCCGTTCACTTTGTTTATATCACCGCTTTCAAAACATTCGCTACAACCATGAAAAAAACAACCGTGAAATTGATAAATCGTATTCGTTTCAGCACAATAACCATCCACAAAATAATTTAAAATATTTTCCTCTCCTTCGGGCGACAACTTCGCAACGAATAGCCTTGCGTTTCAAGATTTTCACGAATCTCCTCAAGCCAATGCAACGCTATAATACTTTGATTAACATTCCCACCGTACCCCGTCGGAGGGATTTGTCCGATAACGTCTTCTTTTAAAAAATTAGCACGGTATATTTTCAATGCTAAACCCGCGATGGTGTGACATGTGCGATCGTAAAATGGAAAAATCTTCGTAATGTTTACGATAAGACGTGCAAATCTCACGCAACCCTGCCGCAAAATATCCACGTCCAAACGACAATAGTAATAAACGGCATCGCGAAATATATACGTTTTTGTTTTTTGAATTTCATACCATTTATTAAATGCTTCCATATTCTCTTCGCGACTTAAATCAAAATACTCCAACCCTACCATGGGACCCACATAATTTAAGTCTGTAAAAAAATGCGGATGGTACCCTTTTGCAAGATCGGGTATATCCATTGCTTCGGGAATTTTACTCAAGGGCATGGCTAAAAACAAATAACTATCGATTACTTTAATCGAAATATCGCCGTGCCGAATTTCCATACTCATGATCTTATTACCGTTCATGACAGTGTGCGGAACCACCCCTTTTTTTACTAACAACTCGCGAAGTAAAAATATATTATCGAAATGCCCCCCGTTGTGTGCTATCCACACGCTATTGCTGGTTTGGGCAAACATGAAACTAATAAGCAGTTCGGTAATATCCTCGTTATTGTTCTCAAAAACATATTGTCTGTGCATACAACACGCTACGGGTTCGACGCTATTGTCGCAATGCTTTATCGTGGGATGAGGCAAAAAATTATCCTGTGATCTAACAAACTCTTTCTCGTCGCATTTGCTACAAACTTTTTGTACAACGGCATAAAAGGGTACCATAAATTTCTCGTCATTCAGACGCGTTTCGAGATCGTAAAAATACAGCGCGGGCAATACTTCCCGGGCAGGAATCTTATACGGTTTCATATAACAAGCATGACCCTGATCCTTGATAGCATTACAGTGAAGACAATAAAACTGACCGCACTTGTGCTTAATCGATTTTTTTGTACTGGTCCGCGTCATACGCGGTACGATCCGATAACAAGTTTTACAAAAAAAGAAAAAACGACAGGCCGGCACATTTTTGCTGTAGTTGTTTTTAAAAATAGCATGCGTTAAATGTTTTGTAAAACACTCCCTATTATAGAACAGTACATGACATTCGCTACATTCGATTTTAAAACCCTCTTCAGCAGCACATTTTGCCTTGTGGGCGTAACATTTCTTACACATATTTACCGTGTGACAAACGTGGGTCGTGGCATTTTCAAAAATGCGGAAGTATTTCATACATTTCATGCAAAAACGGGATCCGCTGTTTTTCATAAATTTTCGCGACGATAAAATCAAATTAAAATGAGCGTCATTCAACCAAAGAAAAATAACATTCTCGGTAATATGATGAATATTTCCCGACGCATCTAAGCGCGAATCGTAAACGATGGAATCGTGCCGAGCTTTAGAAAAAATTACCAAATCAATATTGTCCGCACGTAAATAATTCTCGTAGAACAGATGACATTGATCAATACGTACGGAACACTGGGGTACGTCAGCGCATGCGTAAACATCGTCGATCTGTGCATCTGTATACAATGTCGCGAGTTCTGTGTTACGTCGTACGTTTAAAACATCATACTGTTTGTCTTTTTGCAAAAACGATTTTCCCACCAACAAACTAAGAGCAAAACATTTTTTACTACTTACCACTTGAAAAACACCGTTTCGTGTCTCCCGCCCATGTTTACTCGCCGATGTGCGCCCGTTACCCGACTCGCTGGGGTTTTTACCATAATATTTATAAATTTTAGGCTGTTTTAATTTTTTCCTATTACTTGGGGGGCGCACATACCTATTGGGAAAAATATATAAACTCACGATCGATTGCCAGCCATTGTCAATCATGGTACGCGCATTACTTTGCATATGTCGTTCGAAAATATTTAAAAACAATGAAAATCGCCTACATTTAAAATAGCCGTCGAGAAACTAGCCGTCGGAGCATTCGAAATATAGAAACGTGCTTTATCTGTAGGCGAACTAGCATTAAAATTCATTACATTAATAAGATATTTAAAAACAGTATTCATGCTCTGTAAAAAATCCGGTAAACTACTTGCATTATTACGCCCCACATTAATATTATAAATAAATTCGTTGTGATTAAATCGTCGATTTACATGTAATAATTCGGCACTAAAAACTTCCGGTCGTATGCGTCTAGTTTGATTTGTGCGAATTATGTCCACAAGTTCGTGAATTTGCTCGTTGGAAATGTCATAATTGGGCACGGTATGGTTTCTAGTACGAATAATACGTACGATATCTTGTACAAGTTCCCCATCTACGTCGTCTTCGTGTCGTTTTTGTTTTTTCGACGCCGACGATGCCATAATAGACAACAACAACGCGTCGGCTTCACTTCCTCTTCTTCCACACCCTCTTCCCCACCGTCTGTAATATCCAATTGAATATTTGGACTTCGATTTACGTTCACAAACATACAATCGAACGTAACAAGGGGTGTATCACTACTACCCGTACACAATTTAGAACCCATTATAAATAATATTTGCGACAAGACAAGACGTACACAAATGGCGACGGGACACATAAACATTCATTTTAAATCACTTACAAACCCCAAAGAAAATTACGTATCAAATTATGAATTTAACGATGACGATCAAGACATCGCAATCATACCTATATTATTTTGCGATGCCCTTTCCCTTTGGTGTCACAACTATACCGAAGCATTTGTCGAAATACCCATCGACGATTTATGGTCTCGATTTGCAGATATGTGTACAACGTACGCGATTCCTCCGCATCTGGCAAATAAAATAACCAATGCTATTAATTATATAGAGCGTCACAAAGACCAATACATAGGCATTTCCGTAATCGTCTAAGCAATGGCGAGAACTAAGAAAACACCGCGCGGCAAAAATTTGTATTAAATTTACTACGTCAGACACGTCATCGAAAACGTAGACCCAAATCGCAAAGCATTCGAAAATCTCAACAATGTGTAAGCAATACACAAAAAGATGTACGTTGCCGTAAGCGAACAGCGCATACAGAAAAATGTTGGATTCATCTAGCGAAGCAAAATAATTTACGCATTAAACCCTCCAATGTGGCGGGCGCGGGCAAGGGCTTATTTGCATGGAAAAAACCTATCACGCGAGGAAAATTGATTTCAAAATATACCGGTCGTAAATTAAGCAAAAAAGAATTGGATAAAAAGTATGGAGACGGTGTTGCAAAATATGCCGTGTGCAATAAACGAGGACGATGCGTCGATGCCACATACACCACGGATGCGGCGGCACGTTTTGTTAACGATAGTCGGGGTACATCTTTTCAAAACAATGCCAAAATAAAGGGCAATCAAATGTTTAAATTAAAAGCGACTAAAAAAATACCCGCCAACCAAGAAATATTTACTTCGTACGGGAAAGAATATTGGCAATAAAAAACACTGTTTGTAACGGTAAATAATTATTTGTTAACCCCGCGTAAGAAAATATGGGTCGTAAACGAAAACAACGCGGTGGAAATTTCAAGGGGAAAAAATATCAACGTAGCAAGAAACAGGATGGTGGAAATTTTTTTACGAAATTAAGAAAAAATCCATTCTCGCAAAAACTTCTAACTGCGGGGAAACAATTGGCACTGGGTGCGTTGGGGGGTCCCCAACAAACACAAGCAAGAAACGTCCGACCCCCACCCCCTATGCCCGCCCGAAAAAATTATCAACAAAGGGGTGCGGGAATCAAAAAGAAACGTAAGGGACATGCTAAGCTTAGAAATACTATACCGTCCGCAAAACATGTAATGTATCATCAATAAATTTTTACCTAAAATATTCCGTGTGATGATTTCTTTACACGCTCCAACAAAAGACGACGTAAATTCTACCGATGCATCTTTTTTTCGTAACATGCACACACACAATAATTACTCTTCCCATAAATTTCAAAGTCCTTTTATTCATAAGCTATTGTCGTCATCATTCCATATACGGTAATCAATTTTTTTACAAGTATGTTTTATTTAAATTTCGGTCGTTTATATGTAAATAAATTGAGTTTGAACATGGTGATAAAATTGACGTATATTTACATTCTCAAACAATATCGAAATTTAGCCCGTCTCCATAATAAAAAATGTTCCATCATCGTTGCATACGTCGATCGACTGGTGCTAACCTGCACCACTTCACATATTTTTATAGCGTAATTTTAGCATCGTTCTGAATTCACACCAATCGACAAATATTTGTATTTGATGTATTATTTGTAGTGTGTTTCAACCCCATCAAATACGGTCGTACAGCGCTTGCCAGACATCTTTTTTTACCGCCGAGACTAAATTCTCCGTGTTCGTAGTCGATAGCAGAAAAAAAATCTCTTATCACCCACAGTTGCATATACATTAAAATCAACGGTTTTCCCACAGGTTGTAAAATTCGCATATCTATCTTTTCCCCCGTAAAACATAACCGTAGAATTTTTTTTGAAAAACGTCTACAAAATTGTACCAGACCCACTATCTTCACGGAGCCACGTAGTTCATATTTCACATATTTAAAATATTTCAACATTCCGTTCGTTGACCATTTTAACATTAACTCTCGCAATAGTTTCTCTTTGTCACCAGTTGTTTCAAAATAAAATGTCCGCGTGCTAACCATTTTTACACCCTTCTAACACGAACCCCACGATAAACTGACCCGTTTTAAAAAAATGTACATATTTACCTGAAAACGCACATAAACATTTAATACACGATGCTTTCTGAATACTATACCCCCCGTACTGCCATACCAATTAAACAATAGAGGTAATCCTCGTTGTAATCATATTTATTAGCATAATTAACAAATCCCACTACACACTTGTCCTTGTAAATCCAACGCGTATAGGGATATTTAAAGTACAACGTTTTGATATTATATTTGCGATACACTGCCATGTTCTTGTACAAATTTCAACACGGCACCGTGCGTAGCTTCGATACCTATTTGATTAGTATCATTTAACAATGCCGAATAATATTGTTCTCGAATCACGTTAAATTCACCGTCTATCAAAAAAATTTCACAAGGTATTATATCATCTAAAAATACTTCTACATTACATTGGTCACTATAATCCGGTACGGGGTCGGTTGTCGCAAGAAACTTATCAATTGTCAGTATAAAATCTTTTAAATATTTACAACATTTAGTACATACTAAAATATGTTTTAACATTTTCTGTAGATACTCAGTATCGTATTCTTTAAACGAACCGTCATTTTTCATCATATGAAGCATCGTATCGCCAAGATCACCTAATATATATATAATATATAACATATCCGCTTGAAACGATGTTGTTTTTAATATTTCAAACAAGGGTTTTAGACCCAAAAAAATCGGTATTTCATACAACAAGTATGCACGTTCGTCGTTGCAGGGCCCACAGCCCACGTGAAAATACGACGCGTCCTTGAAATACGGTTCGCCTAAGATCATCTCTTGACAACGTACCAGTTTACAATCGGTGCGCTTCAAAACTTGACAGCAGCAAAACTCAAAGGATTTTAGAATCATGTACCCGTTTTCCTCGAATACCACTCTTCTAACCCATTCGCAGGGTATAACATACATAACCCCTTCACTATATCTTGGAGAAACCAAGGCTTTGACCGTCTTTAAATTTATCATCGTAACAAATGATTGAATTCAAACCACTGCCCACACCACACAACCACGGTTTTTCTTCCACGAAATAATCACAAATAACACGTTCTTTATCCATGCGGGGTTTTCTGAGACGTAACGTACTATTTACAGAATACAAACGCCATAGGATGGGATGATGTTGATAATTTTTCAACAAAATATCAAACGCCTCGATAGCCGACTGTCCTTTTAAAAGATCTAGCAGGTCCATGTTTGTGCTAACTCGTTCAAGAAATGTGCAAATACTTGAACTTCGTGTCTCGAACAATGATAATCGCCATGCAAATGATACGGGAAACGTTCGGGTGTCATACCATATTTGGTAATCAAGTTCGCATACTTCTCACACCCCAATAGTTCAATATTAATTCCCTTTGTACCCAATTTCTTCAATAAATCTCTTTCGATAGTACCTCCCTTATAACCCACCAAATCTGCAGAGGTCATAAACTCTTCGCATAACACTCTATACACGTCACGATATTGTAAAAAATCCTCGTTGTTTTTTTCACGCACCACAGGTAGCCCGTGTACGTGGTGAATTTGATAGTGCACTACCCTTGGATTTATATAAATATCGGGCATATAAATTTGAAATGAAAATGTCTTCTCGTCCCGTATCCGATACACAGACACCTCTCTTAAATAAACTTGATTTTTCCCCAACGTGTATGCTTCACAATCCATAACGTGCGTAATTCGACTGACGATATCTTTTTGATATTTTCGTACATGATCTTTTTCCCAATTTTGGATTTGATTATGTTGTTTTTCAAACCAACGCTCTACAACCTCCATTGATAACACACACACACACACTGAATGATAAAAATTTCTATTTTTTATTTATAAATCTGTCTATTATACACTTGCAAATACAATATGGTTTGGCCGCATTACATTTACAGTTCTTAGTAAAATAACTTCTGTTCGTATAATATTTTTGTGCATAAGTAATATAAGTTCGAATTAAATGTTCGCTAACAAATACGTCATACTCTAAATATAATGTTCTACAAAGCTCCCCCCCACCCACAAGTTTTTCTTTCAATGCTTCCCTCATCAGCACATAATAAATATCGTACAACTTAGACGTCATTTGAGAATAAGTATCAAAATATGCATGTTGGCAACCACTTGTATACCGAGGTAAACGACAACCCATAGATTCCCGACAAACACGACGCTTGGTACCACAGGGTATCCATTTTATCAAAAATCTTGATACAATATGCTTTTTAGCACAACGTACAGACGTTAAATTCACATCCAACGACAATATTGAACGTTCCAAATCCAAATGTTTCACAATAACGCACATATAATATTGAAGGGAGAAAATATTCTCGGTATATAACAAATTCACGGGTTTCGTCTCGTCCGTACTCGAATAACTCTCTCGACGAAGAACATCGTAAATTTCTCGCTCCTCTTCGCAGGGTGTAGCTCGACAAAACATTTATTCGCAAACGTATCCCAGATCTTTGAACTGTACAACGCACGTAGCACACATTGTCTCACAACGACATCTTGGGGGTACATACTGCAGATTACGTCGTTCTGTACCCCACGTGATACATCTACACGATGACGTCATGAAATCTTTAACGGCATACTGTAGTTTTAAAAGATACTTAATAATACGACCCAATCGATAAGACGGGTACATATGTAGTACTGTATTGCATACTTCGCGTAAAACTTCGTCACTACACTGTACGCATTGATCGATAGCGGCCATAAAAAGTTTTGTTTTCTGATATAAAAACGTGTGTAAATCCCCCACGTATTCCTCGTCGTGACATATCGAATCAATACTAGTTGTAACCAACCAAAACGGGGGGCTCCATACACGATCCGTTGCTATATACATCGATTTACGCGGATACATATAAAAATCAACCTCGACCAATCCACAAAATCCCAATGATAAACATACGCAACCCATTACAAGACGTCTTGTCGAACTGCCCGCAATAATATACATATTTTCAAAATAAAAATAACATCGTGGAAATGTTATTATGCACCCCCCATTCACGATATTACTCTTTATCTCGTCGATTCCCGAGGGTAATTGTAAATAATAACACCACATTTCTTTTACTAACATCAAAAATTTATCGTCCATAAACAATAACTCTTGAATTTCGATATCGTCTTCTCCGATGTACGTATTTTGACGTACACTCTCCATGTCTACACGTGGGGTGTGAATACCACAGACTATAGAATGGGTGGAATTTTACAACACACGCCCTCACGCAACTTTTTAACATGCGCATACGTGCACTCTTAAGCATCATACAATAGTAAGCTAAGACTTGGGTCAAACGACCTGACCCGTACATTCGTAGACAGTCGGAAGTCTTCGTACATAAATCCTGCACCGATAAACTGCTATACTCAAAAATATTTTCAATGAATACTTCCACGCGACCGTACACGTATTTCTTCAGTGTTGTACGCGTAAAAAGCGTGTTCATAAAATAGAGCACATTAAAATTACGTTTAATTTCGATATACGGTGTACGATATTTTACAGGGTCCGTATATGCTTTCTCCGGTGTCATGTGAAAAACCACGTCGATAATCGCATAAATATCACGACTCCAGCATAACATCATCATCGAAATTACACGCGTATTCTGCTTTGCAACAGAATTTAAAAAATAAAAATAAGTCTGTGGAAACGGTGTAATCACCGCATTATTTACCAACCACATGGGTTTATTCAGCGATAATTTTATAGCATTTTCTCTCGAAAACGTTAAAAGAAAATTCAACAGTTGTTTATCGATAGTCAACAAACGTTTCACTTCCAAAACGTCGAACTCATCGTCGCACATTTCATTCTGTTGCGGTACATCAATGGGTAACAAGGAGTCGTGAATGTTTTGCAACCAGTCCATTTCAACAATAACCCTCCTCGCAATCTAAAAAAGAAAAATCCTTATATCTCTTCCCAAACACCCGTTGCTTTAGCCTCGTCTATATCTTTAAAGATCTCTTGTAATAACGCATAACTACATAGTATCTTTGTTTGTACGGCGATCATTCTAATCATTACCCACACGTCGGACGTTATATAAATTGCACGTAATGCTTCGTCGAGTGAATCGGCTAGGGGTGAAGAATGATCAAAAAAATTATTATCTTCTTTAAAACACACGGGTATTCTCATAAGATTTCTATACGTATCGTTTGCACGCACATCCACAAAACTCACATTATACGTATTTATACCAAACGCTTTGTATCGAAGTCGAGCCGTTAAAATATATTGTATATTATAATAAACATAATCATTAAAATAAAATGATATGCTAGATATCACGAGTCTATTTCTTAATAATGTACGATTTACTATAAGTTTTATTTTTTTTTCATGTTGCTCACCAGCCATAGTAGAACTAGTAGCCATTTGCTGAACAATTTCTGTAAATATTTTCACACACTCATCACTACAGGGTATCCAATATCGTAACCAGACTAGCAAAAGTATGCTCATCAACAAGGTCAACAATGTTTGCAAATCCCACATTCTTTGCATTTTTCGTCGAATTATTAAACGACATCTTGCCAATAATTCTTTCATTCTAAGAAAAACAGATCAATCATTTTTTTACAACCCACACAACGCATAACCATATTTGGTAATCGACTTTTTAACCCATCCATATTAGGTAATCGACTTTTTTGCAACTGTCACATAACTGATGTGCATTAATCTACTTTTTATGTCTAAAACAATCGAGAGTTTTCGGACAGTTTATTCACTACGCAATGGCTTCGGCGCAACAACAACAAGATCTGAAGCTCTTCTTTGACTATCAAGGCGTTACAGAAAACGACGCAAATCGACTACACTACGTTCAGAAGTTTACGGATTTCCAATTTTTTAGACTAGCTAATCCCGTATACTCGTCGTTCGACAGAGCCTACATCAAGTGGTTGCAACTACCGAATTATCAAACAATGGCAAGCAGCACAATTATTGCGCCACAACCCACACAAACCTTTTTCAACGTACAAGCACCGCCAGCGTACACGTCCCCACCTGTCCTGGATAATGTGAACGAATACTATAACAACGATCTGTTAAATATCATGAACCCAGTAAACGCGTCCACTTTATATACCAACAACGAAGCAGAATATCTACTAAATGAAACGACGACCGAAGTACTAGAATCGAGTAGCGACAATCAATCTCCCGCAACATCCCCCGCACCCGCGCCACCACCCCGGACCCCCGTAAAAAATAAAACCTTAACCCCTATGGATAAAAACATAAACAATTTAAAAAAAAGTTTAAAACGAAAAGCGTCGTCGACCGCTAAAAGTGGAAGACCCAACAAACATGTGCATCTTACACGGATTGCGAACGATCAGGCCGATGAGGAAAAAATCAGCTCGCAAGACGTGATTCTCTACGCTTTGGATGGTACGGAAAAAAAACGAAAGACAATCTTGACTACTAGCGACGAAACTCTCGAAACCTACAACGTGAAACACTACCAATGCTATATATACCTAGGCGAAGAACGAGAACAAGCATTGGAAAAAATTAAAATAGAAAAGGACAAGCTAGAAAAACTTTGCTATCTTGAAAAATTCACAATAGAAGCATTGAAAAATCGTAAAAATAGAAAACTCGAAAAAAATGTTTTGTAAATAATTGTATAAAAATGATGAATAAATGATATAAAATTTGTATACGTGTAACATATCACTACCTGAAAAACACCCGTAATTTCGGGTTACTCACACCCGAAACACCCTTAATGCGGGTCGTTCGACAGCCCGCAAACACCCGTAACACCCTTAAAATCGGGCGAATCGCACGGAAACACGTCGACGCGCGTCACGTGACCCGCGAGCATAAAAGACCGCGAACTTTCAAATCCGAGCACTTCGGTCGACCGCGGCTTTGGAGTAACATCTCGCCCCAGCCCTCCCAAAACGTTCTCGTAAGAACGCGCCTCCTCCCCCCCCAAACAAAAAAACAAATCTCACGCCCTCCAGAGCGCGCGGCAGGAGAGCACATTCCCGAAGTCACATGACCACAAAAACCCCCCCCCCCGTCCGTACAGCCCACCACGCCCATGGCCCTCTTGGACACTCTCGCGCAATACTAATCCCAGTTGTTTTTTTCTGGTTCCCGCTCCCCCTTGTTTTTTTATTGTATATATATAACGACTACTGCATGAAATGCTGTTGTCAGTGCCAAAGCCAGCGGTCATGCAGGTCATCCAGTGCATGACCAAAAATTTCCCCCAAAATGTTTAAAAATCAGTTCAGTATAATTCTTTACAATAGAATTATACTTTATCTTTGCACTTCTACGCTTAAGTATTTTATTTATTATTTTGTTTACCCAAATCAATGGTTTTTAGGCGATATTTTTGCTAAATGTTCTCGTATGTTAATGATTTTGGCTTTGTTAGCTTGGCAACTGAGCGGTCCTGCATATTTTCACATGCATGACCGGTTGCATAAGCACATGGAAAACGGTTGCGTGTGATTTGTTCGCTGTGTGCATTTTCAGAATTTCATGACTAGCTATATTATTTTATTTTAGGTTTGTTGGTTTCTGATTGGCTTACGACATTCGCACACACGCAATGTGGCTGTTTTTATGCCTTGGTCATGCAATTTTCGATTTGCATGACTAAACGGGCAACACACAACCTGATCACAGTCTCTTAGCTCAAAGCTTTCAGCCTGAATGAACACGTCTTCAGGTCATTTAAGCATGTCGACTTCTTTACTCGAAGCTAACAATATTGTTTTGGAATTGGTGAAAAAACCATTTTCTGCTGAGCAGAATATTATTGTTTATAAGCAGAGACCAACGCCAGATCTTTTGACATGCCCGATCGGGAAAGGTTTTCAAATGTCGTATTCAAAGAAAGAATGGCTTAGGCTAAATAAGCTATTGGTATTTAGTTATTGTTTTAAACATATTTAATGCAAAGAAAGATTTGTGTGTTTGCCCCAAGAGCAAGATGCTCATCTAGGGGGCTTACGCTAATAATATATAAAGATATAAATTACATTAAAAAGTTACAACAACACAATACTCACAAGATAATAATTAAACAAAGTGTCAAACATTCGACTACGTAATAACTAGGGTCACAAAACAAGTACGTACTGTAGGTTAAATACATAAAAAACACATATTGAGAAACAGACAAGGAGGTATGAAGGGACAGTGAATACAGTTTGGTATATTTACAATTTGTTTGAATAGTATACAAAAACAGGCAACATGGTACCGTATAAAGGAACTTGAAATCACATATCAATAATCAATTAGAATCGACAGGATTCCTTGATATAATTCTGAACATTTTGAAAAAGATACATATTTTCATTAAATGTTAATTCACTTGACCCACAAAGGAGCAAATTAGTCTTTTGATTATCTGAGCTGTGATTCCAACATTCCCCCAATAATTGTGCAGCAACCGAGAGTAAGGAGCAGCATATCGGGGACAACATAAGAAATAATGAAGGACTGATTCACAAGGATCACCACAGACGCAAGATGAGGAATCGATACAATTAATTTAAAAAAGATGATAGTTTAAAGTGCAACAGTTTAACCGAAGACGAGTATGTAGTATAGACGAGTATCTGTCAATGGCCACATTCAAATGATTAGTATCCTGCCTTAAATAATATAAATTGTTTAAAGTATTTTTGAATATCCCCAACGAGGCAGTATCTCGGACATCAGAATCAAGATTATTCCACGACTTAACCGTTGATGGAAAAAAAATTTTAAACCTTTCCGGTCAAGTGGGAAATAAGGAAAAATTATTACCTGATCTCAAAATTCTACCCGATCGCTGTATAACTGTTCGTGGTAAGACACTACGTAAATATAAAGGAGTTAATTATTAACGATCTTAAAAACTAAAATAAGTTTATGAACTAATCTTCTATTTTGTAAAGTAACCCAGTTAAGCTCATTTAGTAATGCCCGTCTGCCAGTCCCCCTCATCGCACCTGTGACCAGAATAGCGGCTTCATATTGCAAAGACTCGAGCAGCTCGGCTTCGTTAGCATGGCAACCATCCCAAAAGACACCAGCATATTCCATAATTGGTCTTATTAATAACTTATCTAATTTAACTAGAGTATCTCTATGAATAAAAAATTTAAGGCCTTTTAAAAGGTTCAATCGTTTAGAGGCTTTCTCATATATTTTAAGAATATGGGCTTTCCATGAAAGATTTGAGGTAAGAGTAACACCCAAATGAATGTTTCGAGACTTCGTTTATTTGAGTGTTATTGTAAAATAGTGGAGGGTGATAGGGCTTAATACGTTTAGTGGAAAAGGTAATAGACTCAGTTTTTTCAGCATTAATAGTGACTAACCAATCGCTTCAAGATCCTGGTTAAGAGATATAGACGTACTAAGGGGGTCACTAGCATTTGAAATAGGGACAAGTCATCAGCAAAAAGAAAACAGTTACTTTGAAGATTCATTGTAATATCGTTAATATATATTAGAAAAAGTAAAGGACCTAATACAGATCCTTGAGGAACACCTGCTTCAATGTCACCCCAATCAGATGATTGACCATTAATAACTACCCTTTGTTTCCTTTGAGATAAATAACTAACAATCCAATTAAGTAGAGGGCCCCTCACAGCTATAGATTTTAGTTTAAAGATTAATCCTTTATGCCAGACTTTGTCAAAGGCTTTACTGATGTCTAAAAAACCATCCTAACTTTGTTTCCCGAGTCTAACGCTTCGTGAATTTTATGAACAATATATATTAGCTGGTTTACTGTGGAATCACCAGGTCTAAAACCAGATTGGTAGGGGCTTAGAAAATTAATATCTAACAAAAAATTATAAAGTCAATCGAATACAATCTTCTCAGGTATTTTGGAGAGTGCAGGTAGAAGGGAAATAGGACGGTAGTTTTCCTTATGTTGACGATTAGCTTTTTTGAAAATTGGTATGACATTTGCACATTTCCATGCTTTCGGAAAAATTCCTGTTGAAAAAGAAATATTTATAATACTTGCAAAAGATTGGGAGATTCCATCGGCACTTAATTCAAGTAAATGGTTACCAACACTATCAACACCACATGCTTTAGAAATGTCAATACCTTTTAATAAATTATTGACTTCAGTCACAGTAGTGGTTATATCAGAAATAAATCTTGTATTAGTTATGTCTGGAAGTGGAAGTAGTGCGACACTTTCACTGTCCAATCTACACTGAGTGCAAAAATACTCATTGAATACACACACCTTTTCTTTGGCATCGGTTATCATATAAGAATCCTCAAGGAGGGTAGGAACTGAGGGCTGAACTTTTGATCCATGGATAGATTTTATTATTCTCCACCATTTTTTAGAAGCTAAAGTTGGATCTTGTAGTTTTAAATTTAACTTTTCATAGTATTTTAATTTGCATGAACGAATCAAAGAAGTTGTTTGGTTTCTTTGTTTTCTATATCTCTCCCATGTATATGAAGTATTAGAACGAAGATGGACTTTTAATAATCTATTTCTTTTCCCAATCGATTTCCTAATTGACGTATTCATCCACGGTTTATCGCATGGGCGAATAACAACAGATAGATTTATTAACGACATGAGATTTGAGAATCTGATAAAAGCTTTGAAACCACTGATCATAGACAGAATTTATATCGTCAGTGATTAAAAAATTATCACAATTTAAAACCGCAAAGGCATCATTCATTTTATGGATATCAATATTAGAGATGTCCCATATAGTACGTCTTTAACACTTTGGCTTGACTAAAGATATATTCATACGTGCATATATTACTGAATGGTAACACATGCTCGGAGGACTAACAGTTCCAGACACGACAAAATAGCCCGGCGTATTTGTAATTATAAGGTCAAGAACCGTACCCCCATTAGCTGTGACATGAGTTGGTTGATTAATTACTTGAGAAAGATTGTTACATTCTAACCATCTCTAAAGGGAAATCCCAACGTTACTACTTAGCGATTCATCATGGAAATCGTAATGAGCATTGAAGTCACCAATTAAAAGAATATTAATCCCAGGAGTTAAATTAACGTTATCAACACAACATTGTAAATAATTAAAAAATTGAATATTAGCATAGTAATTATAATTGGGAGGTCGATAACACACCCTGCAAACAGTTATAAGACGATTGGTTGTAATTTCTACCCAGAGCACTTCAAAAGGTAACTTTTCTAAATGCAACATCCTTTTAGCTACAATAGAACACAAAGTATAAAGAGCAACTCCACCAGCTCTTCTACCATCACTTCTGTCAAGACGAAACAATTAATTAAAACCTGGAATATGTAATTGATCATTCGAAATTCCCGAGTTTAACCAGGTCCCAGACACGGCAAAGATATCAAATTTTTCATTTAGTACTAAGGAGCTAATTTCATCAAATTTATTTTCATCACAAAGACTTCTGGCATTTATATGGCCAATATTAAGAGTTAAATTGCGACAAGGGCCAGGATTAATTTCAATATCACCACATAGCAAAATTAATATATTGCTAAAGAACACGTAAATAAACAAGCATATGCAACAGAATAAGTTAGGGAATACACAGGAGAAGGTGGCAGATAAACAAAGTTGACTAGTCCGAGTCGGAAAATTAAAACAACCAATAGCTGCCCTATAAATATCAAGACAAATCCCCATCAAGCATACAAAATAGGCAATATAAACTTACCTCGGACTGCACACTCACAAGATTTAAGCCTGTACAACACATATATATCAAGTACAAACATATATTAATACAACATATGTGGATAGAACTTATCTCAATAAAACACAAAAACGAACATATAAAACAGAAAGAAAACACCGTAGTAAAGAAGTTCATTGTTCGTAATGCAGATATGGTTTAGAGTGCAGAATAACGGGATTAAAATTAGAAACTAACTTCATAATTATGGTGCTCAAGGTCAACAAGTCTACAAACTCTAATCAGATTATCACTGTCCCTTGACTTGACAAAAATATTACCGTCAACGGTGTATACATATCCCTTGCCTTTACACGCTTCCTTAGTTTGCTTCAGGAGCCATAAATTATGCTTTGTTAAATCCTCAAAAAATTGACATAGATTTGTTTGCCTTTAAGCTGCCTTCTAGCTTTCATAACTTTGACCTTTGAGAAATGGGATTTGAATTTAACAATGAGTGCCCTTGCTTTATTACCATTAGGCCGGCCAACACGGTGAGCTCTGTCAATCTCGTCCTTTTTAACATCAACGCCAAGTTCATCCTTACAAAAATCAACAACAACTTTCGTGCAATCCTTGGCCGCTTCGCTTGAAGAGTCGCTTCGCTTGAAGAGTCGTGAGTCTCCAGACCGAAGATTCTAATATTTGAACGACAAGAGTATTGCTCATTGTCATTAGACTTTTCACAAATCAGCTCTATTTGTTCTTAGAGACTTTCGATCCTTGCTTGTAAGGGTTGTATAGCTTCTTGCACAATGTCCGCCATGACATCATTAAATAATGATTTGATTATATTGCCAAATTCATCTGACTGCAGATATTTCAATAATTCTTTTTGAATGATACCACATATATCTATCTCCTTCAGTGCATTTGTAGTCGATTGAGTTATTATACTTTCACATTCATTAACAGCCATTTTCCGAAGGAGAAAGCAATAATACAGCGACAGTTGTAAATAGTTTCCCTTCGCCCAGCAAATATAAATCACTTCGTGTCCGCAATCACCAACACAAGTAAATTACATGAGGTGTTGGTTCTGAAGACTTTGAGTGTAGGATTTTACAGACGAAAAGATAAAATGTGATCTACGGAGCACAGAAATTGTCACATGTATTTGTCTTGAATATTAAAGCCTTCAACCCGAGCATAGGCATATAAAGCATCGAGTGCTATATACTGTGGCTGTATGAAATACAATGTCAATGTCGAGGTCAATGTAATAAACAATGTAGTTCTATAAATAGCACTGTAAAGCTTTATATACATATCAACATGCAACACAAATATTTTAGTGATTGTGATTTAGCAACATATTTGATATATACTTGTTTCTGGAACAAACAAAGAAATTTCAATATATATTGTTATATTGTATTTACCATTTGGTACATACTCTCCCCATGCTCAAAATATCCAATATGAATGCAGAATTTGGCTAAACTGACAGTAAAACTTCAACTCAAACATCTGATAATGCTTAATTCATTCTGTATGTAATAATGTAATAAATTGGGTGATTGATTTTAAATTAAGGAAATTGATCAAGGCTCGTGCGTTATATTTTCCAAGTCTGCATATTATACCTATATTCTAGATTATACTGACTGTATTAGCAGCTATTTGTTGATCATTATGTTCTGTTAGTATATGTGAATAAAATTGTATCTAGTTCTGGAAATGTGAACAACTCTTCAGACTTCACGTTGGAATACTACAAGGGGATAGCATAGCAAAGTAATCAATTAAAAATTATGAATTATAATAATTATATGAATTATTAAAAATTATCCCCGAGTTATTTCATATACGCAAAGGTTGGCCCTTTGCGTATATGAAATAACTAAACAAGACAGCATATAATTTCAGTCAATTCAGTGTATTATTAATATTGATTCCTTTTTTATTATATTGAATTTTTTTACTAAAAAGAAAGCAAAGTTATTTGCATGCGAGAATTTGAAATCATTTTGTTGCAAACTCAAAATTTATCGATAAAGCCATTTAATTAAAGCAAGGCAATTTAGTTTTATAAAGAACGTTTTAAAACATTTTGCGAAGCTTTTGTGGTTGAATTTTACCTTAAATTGAAGCTTATATTACGTATAATAACATACCTAACAAATATATGTTGGGAAATTGATAATTTTGTAATTAAAATTGATATTTTTAGGCAATTTTTCATTTGTAAGAATATTCTTAAAAAATTATCGTGTTATTACCATGACAACAACTTTGGATACTTCATGTTTGGAAAATACAATGGTTTTGTCAGCAAGGCGAGGGTTTCTGCATGCATGTATTTTCTAGTATATAATTATTATAATTAAAAATTTTCTGATCGAAAAGAAATACACAATTGCCAGTACAACTATAATTAGCGGAACTGCAGACCACAGATTTCCTATTTTTGTGTCGATCTTCATTATTGTTGTCTGAAATATGCCAAAATATCCACATCTTTTCCCTCATTAGATCAAGCTATCCTGAAATTTGATGCTCATATTGCTGCAAATGGCATTTCTGGGAGTCTATATTTAAAAAAATGTTCAGGGGGGGCATGCCCCCGGACTCCCCTAGGATGTCTCATGCCTTCGGCACTTATTTGCATGAACACTCACAAGATGCTGGCTTCACCACTGACCATTGTGTGGTTATGAGAAATTGATACCTGGAGTTTTTGCCAATCATAAACAATCTAATGGGAGTCCCCATGGTTTGTGTTGTCTGCGCGGTTATACCATTTATGATAACGATAAGAAGCTGTTTGTGTGTTGTCATGGCAAGAACTCAGACTATTGTTGTGGCTTTTACTTGCATGAGAATGATTTGTTGACATTTTTGGACATATTTATTAATGATGATGACTGGGGCGAGCAAGATGGCAGACACTAATTTTTTTTGCTCCAAAAAATTTGCTGCAATTTGTTTGAATTCTAATAATTTTTCTCACGATTTGTATTATTATATGATATTTTCAAATACTCTTTAGTCATGTCTAAGTCAACATTAAGTTTAAAGTCGATTGAATCACTTTGAATGAGAAATTGCTGCCAATAACAAACAAGATCGAATGTCTTCACAATAAAGTTGAAGAAGTTGTTCACTCGCTGAGCTTTCTAAGTAATAAGTAGCTTCCTTGGTTAACATCAATATCAAGAAGACATTTCTGTTAGCCATCGTATAAGAAACACTGGTGTCAGAGGCAGAAGTATGCTAAACTTTCTGTTATTGGACTTTCTGAAATAAAATTGAAAGTAGACCAATCTTTCTAACATATATTGAAGTGCCAGGATACGATTTTATCTCGCAAGCTAGCCTTTCTAATTCAGATGGTGTAGGAGTTTGTTGTAAGGGATGCTTTATGTGAATCAAGCTGGCTTTTAGCCAGAAGAGCATCCAGGGCCACCCCTAGAACTACATTTGACATTTTAATCAATTTGATGGTGTAACTGGCTAAATGAAAATGTTGTAGTTAAGTAAAGAAGCATAGCGGCACAAACTCAGTACTCACAAAGCCAAGTGTTTGAAAAATTTCGAAACAAGTTTGGAACAGATACTGATATGAAGTAACATAAACATCAAAGGTTTTCCAGAGGAACATTTTCTCAACCCCCCTCTTTACTGTAGATGTATCGTTGTACCAAAATTGGACGCCCTCTTTTAGGACCCTGGCTAAAAGCCTGATCAAGAGAAGAATTTGAATGTTTATAGATTGAAATATATGCCTTATCTCAACCAAATGTTCTATGTTCAATTATGTATAGACATCCAAAGGCCTCTCTTGAAAACTTTACTCAATATATATATATACTCTTGCTTAGATAAGATTCGTACTGATAATAAGCTTTGTGTGATTTCAGGAGATTTTAATATCAATCTCTTGAATTTCTAGTCATATATGTTGCCACTGAAAATTCAATATGAAATATATATGGAAGGGGATCAAGGAATTAATCGTGCCAAAAATACACTGTTCAAATATACCAAATAGAATAATTAAAGATGGTATATTGAAATTAATGACACGAAAGGGATAGCCAATTGCCTTTGATGATTATTTTGCTAGTATTGGAGGTAAATTAGCTGATGCCATTCCTCTAATTAGTGAATCAAAAAAAGTTTCCTAAAAGCATCTCAGCAAAATTGTTTCTTTTTATATCCTGTAACAACTACCAAAATCCAAAATGAGACCAAAAAGCTCAATCTGTCCAAAACATGTGGTCCTCATAGTATTCCCATTAATCTATTGCAATTAGTAAGAGATTACCTATGTTTTAATCAAGCATATATGTGCTACAACAGAAGAAGTGTTGGACAGGATTTAACACAGTTCTTTGCAAAGAAATTCCAGATGTATCTCGAGTTGGTTATTTGCCTGTTATCGATGCATCACCAACTGAGTATTCAACCATCAATGCAATTCTGGAAAGAAGCAAAGAAATTACTGATAAATTAGAGCTCAAATACGCTGTCCTAGTCTTTGATGAAGCTGTGTATGCCAAGATTCAACAAGTTCGCTGGAAAGACAAGGTCCTTCGTAATCGGTTCGTTGTTTGCCTTGGGGAGTTTCACACCCCCATGACCTATCTGTCTGCTATGTCAAACATCTTTGAAGATGGAGGTCTCAAGGTATACAGTCTCTTAACATTCTGCCATCTGTCCTTGTAAACGTTTTTATTATAAAATGTTGTAAGATCCTTTTCATTTACATAGGATGTGTTCATTGAATCTGGTATTGTGAAGGATCGATCAAGGGTGTTCTCTCCGGAAAACATTACAACCGGTCTGTGTTAAGTCACAAACTCATGTATGAAGCCCTACAACGCCTACGACTGGAGGCATTTTTGGATTATGTGGCAGAAAATCACAAAATGACTTCATTCGTTGACAAAATGGTGGGATCGTTTCTAGAAGGCAAGTTCCTTATGTGTGAAATTGAGAGTCCAGAAATGCAGCAAGTCATATGAACTAGTGTAGCCGAGTCATCCAGAAAATTGAGAACCTTTGCCTTTTGGAGCATGTATATTAAAATGGCAGGTAATCAAAATTTATTAACAAAATCTATTCTCTCATAAAACTTATTAGTTATTACATTTGCTTATTTGGAACTTTAAATTTTTGACTTAATAAACAGATGTTCATCCGAGCCACCAGAGAGGTAAACTGGGATCTCCACTTGACAGCATTGAGAGAGTCAACTATGCCAGAAACAGGTCAGCATATATACTGGAGATGACTGCATTGGAAAATATGCACCCAGGTATGGAGAAACTCAAATGGTATCAATGTTGAGTTTCAAACAAAATTGCACAAATGTTTAATTTAACTTACAGGATTAACTTAACTTGTCATCAGTGATCAGATTAATTTTTCCTTTGTAGGAATTCGTCAAGAACTTTTATCCAACTTTGCTGTCCAGCGTCAGGATAATCATGAGTTTTCTGCAGTGGCATGTGACCAAACAATGGAAAACGAAAGGTGGTCTAATTGGGTTTTCAATTAACCATTCCTCTGTTCACAGATGGGTGTTGTCTCAATCAGAGAGGGCTTCAATTACAAGGATATGTAAGGACATGGCTGGGATGGAATGTAAGCCAAGGTAATGTATTTAAAAATGGTTTCTATAGAAATTAAAGATTTGTAGTAGGTACACAATGTCATTTACATTTAGTTATTTTTCATGCTAGTCTGAGTGCAGACTCCACACCGAGAACGCTGAAAAAACAGCTTGACCGCAACCTTTGGTATGATATGCACCACAACAACCAGAGTACACATTTACATATTTTACACGAAGTTTAGTGTTAGTGTTATAGTATTATTGTTTTAAACTTTTCAGAACCCGCAAAGACCTTGATGACACCAAATGGAAACTCCATGAGAAATCAGTCAATGACGTGGTTAACACAATCTTGAGCATGATCAACCTGTTTGAAACAAGATAACGAAACAACTATCTACGAAACAACTATCTGTAAAGGGGCAAGATGGAAAGAAAAATAGCATTGTGATGAACCAAAAGTTGTTTGCTTGTTTACTGGTTATTGCCAAAAGTTGTAAAATTGACTTGACAACTCATCAACGAAACAACTATCTGTAAAGGGGCAAGATGGAAAGAAAAATAGCATTGTGATGAACCAAAAGTTGTTTGCTCGTTTACTGGTTATTGCCAAAAGTCGTAAAATTGACTTGAAAGAGTTGCCGTTGTACAGTCTTGGTACCTACCGTTGTCTACAACAACCAGAGGCCTTGTGAAAACTGCCAAATCCAAACTCTTCGATATCTTGGAAGACAAAGCTGGAAACCCAGCAGATGATATGCACGCATTCAACAACAATGCAATAATTGTGGATGGTACGGCAGTTGTTCAGTCTATTAACGGAAAACGTTTGGAGAGCTCGCAGATGCTATCTTGAACAGTCTCACCAAGCTAGAAGGCAATGGAATTGCACATGTTTAGACTTTGTGGCAGATTGATATCCTGTCTTAAGTACTAAGAATACGGAGCGAGGAAGAAGAGCTGAGAAAGGAGTTCAGAGAGTTCACATTTATGGTAAAGATCAGAATGTGCCAAAACAATGGAAAAAGTATGTGAGCTGTGGTGAAAATAAAGAATCCCTTGTTGTATTTTTATGTGAGCACTGGAGATTGTGCAGTTCGCTTTGATCGGGTGGCATTTCAACCATGTATGTGACAGCAAAGGAAAAATACTATCTAATTTCCTATGGTGATTCTGATGATGATCCTGTAAGAAGTGAAGTGGTGTCGATCTTTCAAAGCAATCACGAGGAAGCAGACACGCGATTACTACTCCATGCCAAACATGCTGCAGCAACATACGATAGGATCATAATCAAGAGTCCTGATACAGATGTGTTTATTTTGTCTATTGCCATGCAACCTGCATTTCCAAAAGAACTTTACATGATGGCTGGCACAGGAAACAGCTTATGTTTTGCTGCATACAAGTGTCAACGATATCCAATAACTTGGCATTCACAGGTTCATAATAACAATATATTAACCAAACAACGCTAAACGTGCCTAATGCTACAAACATAACTTTTGAAACTAACTTTCATTATATATTGTATACAAAGTCTTGAGCTTCGTGCTAAAGGCTAATCTACTTCCACTCGGGGGATTTTCCCGCTTGATAGGAACAGACAGGAATAAGTTCTCTTTGTCTTGTAAGCTCTCGGTTGGAGAAAATAACTTAAACACAAAAAAACTTTCCTTTCTGTTGCTTTCATGCCCAGTTTTGCAGACGATTTACCTCAGTGGAAAGTAGCCTTAACAAGACGTTGTTTTAACTTTTAGGATGTGACAGCACAAGCTCTTTTCATGGAAAAGGAAAGAAAACAGCTTGGAAAACACTTGTAACCTTTCCAGAGTTTGTTGAATGCTTTTCGATGCTTGGAAGAGATTTTCCTCCTGGAGAAGAACTTATCAATGGCTTAAACAAGTTCACCTGCCGACTATATGGAGATAAAGAATCAACAACCGTGGACAATTGTATGTACACACTGTTTTCCTCTGGGAAATGCTCGCATTATGTATTGCCTCCAACCTGTGACAGCCTTGTTCAACATATCCTCAGAGCGAATTTCCAAACATCATCAATGATGCCAATGTTTAAGTGCTGAAGTTATTGTCCCTCCTCCAGTTGATAATGGTTGGAATCTCGCAAATGGGGAGCTGGCAATTGTTTGGATGACACACCCTTCTGCCCCGCAATATCGTTGCTTGAGTGTCTTGATTGCAGATGCAAGACAGGATGCAAGTCAATGCGCTGTTCCTGCAGAAAAGCGGACTTAAAGTGCACAGACTAGTGTGGATGTTCAGATTGCCAGAATTGTGTTGCAGCAAATACAGAAGCCAAGGTATCGGATACAGAGCACAAACTTGAGGTTGAGAGTCAGGATCGGAATGCAGTGATGACGATTTGTGACAATGTTATGTGATATTGGCCTTGTACATTTAGATCGTGATCAAAGTGAGAAGTGTAGATACCAGTAAAATGATAGCCAGATATTTTCTATATTCATTGGATGATACGAAGTCGAGACGAAACCACGGTAAGTACTGTTCGTACTTTTTTACGGTCTTTGTCGGTCTCCGATCCTATATCTATGCAATCTCGTACCCAGAGCAATGCCTGTGTACGGGCTAGGAAGGCATTGGCTCTAGGGAAATTGACAACCAGAACCCCTAAATTTAGGGGTTCCGGTTCTTTGTTGGCATGCACTATTGACAAACGTTTAACCAATCACAGCACAGAAAAAATGCAATTTCCCCAGAGCCAATGCCTTCCTCGCCTGCGCTCAGGCATTGCTCTGGGTACGAGATTGATATCTATGCTGTTCAAGTTGTAGTCTTTCTTGCTCCAATGCTTGCTTGTTTAGCTGAATCCGAGTGGCTTCTCTGCTTTCCAACACAGCCTTTCTTGCTCTGACAGCTAGTCGGGCACTAATGGCTGAAGACTGGCCATATTTGGAATGTGAACTTGCAATCGAACTTCTTGTTTTAGCATGGGAAGCTCTTCTGATATTGCTGACTGATTTGCTTGACTTTATTTCGGGTTATTTAGATCTATTTTACAAACTTGTCATCCAGTGTTGGAGTGTATGTGTAAAGTTGTCAATTATTTTCCTTTCTGTCTCTAAATACTCTTCAGAATCGATTTTATCATATTCTTTGTCAATCTCGGAGTTATATTTTGAATGGGTGGCATTGAACTTATCCACCATGTCAGCGAATACACTTTAGCTTTAACTCAAGCTTCTGTAATATTTTCACCAACCATTTTCCATTCGGTAAGCTCCCTGATTTGCTTTGTAATGTTGACCTTCGCGGTTAACTTTGCCTTAACCCTTGCACATTTGTTGTTTCTGTACGTTGTTTTGTTCAGGAATTTCCTCACCTTTGGATGCCACAGACATTTTCTTGAGTATAACGTTGATTATGGTCAACATAAATCTCAGAACAAATGTTAGACTCAATTGCAACAGAACATTTATTTGAACGTGACAGATATAGTTATTCTTTAGATGGTTCAACTACAAACAAAAATTACAATAAAAACATTAAACTAGGATAAGCAACTAACAAATAGAGTTACTAACAGTATACATGTTCAAAATATAGGATGACTTATATATTTAGTTTTCTGTCCAGTAGAACATTGTAACCATGGTAGCGTGACAATATATAGATAGCCGAAATGTTATCAGCACCTAGAATTTATACTGTTAATTTACATAAAACAAACATGTCACAATCAACATATACTGTCACTCACATGGAACTGATTACGGCCAGTCCTTTTGTCTTTTGGTTTGAAATCATCAACTATTAACTGTACGTAACTTTGTTTTATTTGTTTCTATGTGCAGTTTCTTTGTCTTGTTTCTTTGGCTTTTTTTTTCTGGTTGTTCCTGTCGAGGGGCCCTCTAGAGGATACCTCAAGGGAGGGATGTTCTCTTTTCTTTACTACCTTGTGAGTTTGGGGGAGGTGCCGACTGACCCCCAATTTGTGATCAGGGGGGTTCTCATGTTACAGTTAGTGGGGGAAGCTCTCCTCCTTTTCCATGTGGTTTACTTTGCTTGTGTGTGAGAAGATCATTCTCTTGATTTTAACTTGGGTTGTACTAATAAGCATATGGGCCAATGAACAAATTCTAATTTACCAAATACTGGGGGACAGGAAAATTCCATATATAATTTGACTAGCACATGTGAATTCAAATCTACCTATTCCTCCTGGCCAAATAATACTTTTTGTAAAGATAAGGCTAAGGGTCCCCTCCCTGCCGGCGATATGCATATTGTACAGGCTTCCAATGCAGTGGTAACCAGATGTCGAGGATGATGCTGGCAACATGATGTCACAATTGGGACAATTCAAAATTTTAGAAGACATATGAAGAATAAACATCCAGAGATTAAATTAATTGAATCAGCCAAATGTAGTTTGTAAATTTCCTGAAGGTTGTGGCGCGGATGTCCACCTCAAAACATGCCGTCAATCTTATCCAAATAATCCTTACCTGAACTCCACCCCTTCTGATCATAAGTTTAACCCATCCCCATCAACAACCCCCCTCAACCGATTCTTATGGATTTAGACTGCAATGAAGAACTGTTAGATTCCCCAAGTTCCCACCTTGACCTGATACAAATTCCCCCCATATTTCTTACCCTGATTGTACTGCTATGAATAAAGATATTCCCCTGCATGTTCCCTATGCATACTCCTGACACAACGCCTTTAATCTCCCACAAAACCCACCAGTGATTTCTCTAACATCAAGTCATCAATCATATCCTGAAACATTGATCACCTTAATTAGTTGTACTGCTACGAATAGCGACTCTCTTGGATTTTTCCATTCATCTACTTATGATTTATTAATATCCTTTCCAACTCCCTCAACATCACCAGAACATCAAATTGTCATCATCCATCTCATCCATCAAATTGTCATCATTGCTGTCACCTCTAGTGGTCTTTCTGCTGAACATAGTGATTTTTCCAACACTAATTGTACTTCTATTCTCACTCCCCCTCTTTCTCTGGCAGGGAAATCAGACAAAAGTTAATGTCTATGTTAATTGTGCACCTGAGAAAGATAAGGTTGAATATCATCACACAAAGTTGGTAGATCCTGATGACTTGTTGTTACAACTAGTATTCAATTGTTGCTTATCCGAGAAAAAAAGCCCTCATTTGGAATCATGCGATAATGGTTTTGATTTGTTTGCGATGTTACTCTGAGTGCATATCCACACCGGGCGAGCTTGAAAAATATGCCCGGCCACGGTGGGATTCGAACCTACGACCTTTGGAATACTGGCCCAATTCTCTTCCAACTGAGCTACGCGGTCAGGACGGTTCAAGTAAGTGATATTTCGGAACAGTATCTAGTTCCTTCAATACCAATGTGTTCTAGTAATATGAATTTTTCTGTGTTGGTGTTGTGTGCTCAGGTGAATAATATGTTTGAGATGTTACTCTGAGTGCATATCCACACCGGGTGAGCTTGGTTTTGATTTATAAGAAAGGAGGTAGCAGTGGCCCAAGTAACTTTCGTCCAATTGCCCTGATCTCCTGTAAATAAGATTTGTCCCTGCAAGTTTGATGTTGACAACAACTTAAATTTGTTGAAACAGAAGAGTTCTAGATATTCCCTTCATACTGTATCAACCTATTTCCATCTTGGCTTACGCTGATGACTTGGTGTTAATAACTCAAACAAGAGAAAGTCTCCTAGTAATCCTGAAATAGTTTTGTCAGCAGCGCAATGCTCTCAGGTTGTCCTTTAGACTAGACAAATGTTCCACCTTATTTTTAACCTGTGGCAAAAGATGAGTATTGCGTGTTTGCAGCAATGTCTTCAAGGTCTAAGATCATTTCCTTTCAAAAGAAGAATCCTTTAGGTATTTGGGTCCCAATTGCTGTAATATATGATGTTTGAAAGACCTGGAAAAAAATTGTGATTCTCTATTGACACTATGCCAAAAGTTAGATGCCATAAGAACATTTATTCAACCATGCCCTCCATGATAGTCCAGTCAAATGGCAATCATTAGCAATATAAGGGGGGGGGGGGGTATCAATTGCAACAAAAACGTCCTGTTCTTCATCCCAGTAATGTACATTTTCTTGTAACATGTTATGTATATAAAAGTCAGTGTAAACATTTGTGACAAATTTAATAATAATATGCTGTAAGAAATTAGTGGACATTTTAAGATCTATTTGCAAGTTTGCTATTTCTTTGCAAATAAATTGGTTGGTAGTTTAGGTCTCCAGGATCCTTTTGATGAGAGATATGTTCAAAAAGTTGCCCAAACTATTAAGATCCTATCCTCGAATGATCCTCTAGTGTGCAATATTGCCCACAGTCAACTGAAGTACGTGGTTTATCATTGTTTACACTGTGATGTAAACAACTCAGCAAGAATTAGACCAATTCCTTTCTTGTTGTGATGAAGGAGCTATGCAATCATAGTCACACAAATAAAAGTCAAACCCTATAGTTTTGTTGCAGAATTTCGGCCAAAGCTTTACATATCAACATATCTGATGCTTTAAGCAAATCCAATCCAAAGTGCCAATGATACCACAACAGCCAATGCTAATTCAATAGCCTCGAACCTTCACTGTGTATGTTTGGAGAAACATACACATAACCTTCAAGACTTACCTGACCAAGGAAAAGTTGCTAGATGCCTACAGACCTCTAAATTCCCATTTACGAATAGTTGGTGCTGACGGTACTGGTTTGCACTTTTGTGATTGGGCATTTCATTCATAGAGCTAAGACAAATACCCTTCCCCACTGATGACATCAAGAGATTTTCTGACGGTATTATCCCAGCTGCTGTAATTGTCACAGCACAAGTGATATGGAAACCCTTCCTCTTTACAACATGAAGGTGGAATGAAAACAGGAATTTAGACCAGTGATTTAGACTCTTGTTGTCATCTGTTTCTAAATACAGCTAATTCAAAAAAGGTTGTCCTTTGCAAACCTTAAACTCTTAAACTCTAAACCTTAAACCTTAAACTCTAAGTGTGCAAAACATAATGGGAGCATCATTTAATCAGTTTAGAAATCATAATGGAGGCCCATTGCTTGGAGACTTGGTAAATATCTCCTTAGGAGAACAATTCATTCACAGGAAGCTGCAATATTCAAAACTACTAAGCTTCAAACTCATGCTCCCATTAAGCTTTGCGCACTTAGAGTTTAAGGTTTAGAGTTTAAGGTTTCCAAAGGACAACCTTTTTTGAATTAGCTGTATATGTGATCACTGATCGCAGTGATATTAATAATATAAAGTACATTGTGATTTAAACCGTTCTTCATATATAATATAGCACAGCACAGATGTATTTGTCAAAATAAAATGGATACATTTTAGTATTTTCTAAAAAGGCTTACCAACTCATTGGTATAGTATGTAGGTTTTATGTCAGGACACCACAAAAATGTCACCAACCTACCCAACTGTTGACATCACAACCAAAACGCCACCACACTGTTCCATTTGTAGTCACCCAACTCTAGGTTATGGAAGGCATGGCAAGTCACAAGTGGATTGTCCTATTTGTTCAATGAAAGTTTGCACACCATCAGACATTGTCCTTGCAACTGGCATACTGATTCTGCATCAGAAGCCAGAGCAAAAGCATCACATCAAAAGTCACAACCTCAGAATCAACATCCAGCTAGCAACCATGTCAAGCCAATTCAACAACAAATCCAGCTATGTAAGCAACAGCTGCCTCAACACCTGAAAAGTGTAAGTTGTCAGAAAGTGAAAATGCAACATCTAACAAATCGAGCTGCCTTTCCAACGTAAAGTAAGCAAGTAAAGCTTTAATGCCCATCCAAAAGTCCTCTTCATTCACTAAAATCACTGTTTTAAAAAAGCTGACAATGCACCAATTCCCCCCAAAATTCTCAATATGAATATTTCAGTTAAATCAGGTTAAATTAACAAATACAAAACAAATCCTTAATATTTTTTATCACAGCTGGCATGCTCATTCGCATCATGAGGCAGTAATGGAAGACAAAAATAATCCAGTGCTAGTGAACAATCTTCAGATACTGCAGAACAAAGCCGCCAAAATTGTTTTAGATTAACCACTTTTTTCATTGGCAACAGATGCATTAAACACTTTAGGCTGGATCACTCGTGAGTAACATAGATTGTGTCATAGATGCTTAAATGTCCAAATAATCATACCTCACATGGATTTGAACTTTTAGCAAACAGATAAATACACTTAATTAAAGCCACCTAAAGTGTCAAGGAATTGGGGAAAGCAAAGACTCGCTTATCAGGTTATAACAGACTGGAAAACTTGGACAGAAAGATAAAACTCTAGTCGTATTTCTACATTTAGGAGAAACTTTTTTCTAGCAATCTTTGTACTTCCCCTTTAAAATATTTCTCATAGTTTTGTAGTATATGTGGTTACGGTTCACTAGTCCGAAGGTTCACTAGTCCGAAGGTTCACTAGTCCGAAGGTTCACTAGTCCGAAGGTTCACTAGTCCGAAGGTTCACTAGTCCGAAGGTTCACTAGTCCGAAGGTTCACTAGTCCGAAGGTTCACTAGTCCGAAGGTTCACTAGTCGGAAGGTTCACTAGTCCGAAGGTTCACTAGTCCGAAGGTTCACTAGTCCGAAGGTTCACTAGTCCGAAGGTTCACTAGTCCGAAGGTTCACTAGTCCGAAGGTTCACTAGTCCAAAACATACGCTGGTTTTGAATTGTAATTACGTGTTAAACTTGGCTGCTTCCCAGTTAAGGATTTTTCGTACTTGCATATACACGCATGGGAAAATTTAACTGACCACTAGAATGTCTTTTGTCCATTTAAGAAATAATTAAATGAATAAAAGGATAGCATTTAGTTTTGTGTTTGATTTTATTTTAATATTATATGTATTTTTTAAGTAATTATTATACTTATACCGGTATAAAATTTAGAAAGTTTTATAAACTTTTCCGAGTGCATATATATGTACATGAAAAATGCAGCCTTAAACGTCCAATGACTATACGGAAACTTTCAAGTTGCGCATTTTTCACATACATATATATTCACATACATATTCTATATTATCAGTTCCGTCCCAGTTCTCTCCCACCTATTGACAGCCGTCACTCATCTAACTATATGATTAAAGATTGTCTAATTAACAAGATAACTAATATTAACTATGAGATAATAAAACTTGACCTGTCTCCAACATATATACACTCGGAAAAGTTTAAATCTTTCTAAATTTTATACCGGTATATGTACTATAATTACTTAAAAAATACATTTAAAATCAAACACAAAACTAAATGCTATCCTTTTATCCATTTAATTATTTCTTAAATGGACAAAAGACTTTCAAGTCGATTTAAATTTTCCGTTTATGTATGCAGGTGCGAAAAATGCTTAACTGCGAAGCAGCCAAGTCTAACACATAATTGCAATTCAAAACCAGCGTATGTTTTGGAGTAGTGAACCTTCGGAGTAGTGAACCTTCGGAATAGTGAACCTTCGGAGTAGTGAACCTTCGAACTAGTGAACCTTCGGACTAGTGGGAAGTCACCGTATATGCATGCCTTCCTTGTAAATTTGTTTGTTTAGTTATGGACCTTTCTGAAAATCAGCTTGTGAGAAAGCCTTCCTGAAAATAAATATTTATCCAAAAGACAGGGAAAAACAAAATCAATCAAAGTAACACTTCTTTCTCTGGGCAATTCTTGAAACAATTCGTGAAAAAAAATCCTTGTCAGGGAGCATTCATTTTTTAGCTGGGGGGGGGGTGGGCCGGAGGAATTAGGGGGTGGGTCAGCCAATTTTGACATGCTTCAAAGGGGTGGGTCTTTTTATAGTTTTGGTATAAATGGAGGGGGTCATAAAAATAATCAGTGAAAAAATCACCAATATGATTTTATTGAATTTGGAAATATTTGGATCAAGAATGGTAAAAGGTCCAGAATCTATCAACTATCTCATCATCTATAATAATGAAGCAAAATTCATTTGACGCTCTGTTCACACAGTCCATAGGAAAACATTTCCATGACGTTTGTCATTTGACTTCATTTTTATCCGTTTTTGTGTGAAAACATGAATGAAAGAAAACACAGGACCGTAGCATGATTTCAAAATCATGCATGATTTCAAGGTCTGCATGACTTCAAAATCATACAGACCTTGATCAATTTTAAGCTTTATTAATTTTAAGCGGCTACATTATCCATGACAAACTGCAAAGAATGAAAATAGTACCCACAGTTTCCTGCAACTTATCCTAGTTATCCAATATATAGTAAATTCAATACGCCTTCGCCCATTTAGTACTACCAAATTGTCAATTTCGACATACTAAAACGCTGTTTTCTGACCATCAGAATTCTGTCAAATCTTCCCCCAAAGGCCAGGAAATGGCATTTCAGAGACTCTAGATTAAAAAATTTCCTCGGGCCTTTGGCCCTCGGTTTCAGCCCCCCAATCAAAAAGAGCTTCCTACGACCCTGAAACACTATGGAAATGACACCGTGTGGATTAATAGTTAGGATGAGGGGTCAAAAAATTTTCAGTAAAAAAAATAGGGGGTCATAATTTTTTATCAACTTTTGTCTTGGGGGTTCCAAGTTTTAGCATGGAATTAGACATCAGTTCCTCCGGTCCACCCCCCCAGCTAAAAAATGAATGCTCCCTCAGTGAAAGAAAGGTTCCTTCTCAAACTTTGCAGTCATTCAACTATCTTACCAGTCTTGAACAACATTGCCGTTTCCTTTTTCAATATGGGCAAGGACAGAGCGTGCCTCTAAAAGTGTACATCTCGTACTTGCCCAATGCTAACTGTTAATTGGAAAACACTTGATGGTTTGGAAGGGACCTAAGGTACGTAATGGCATCACAATTTTACTCCCATTTGACTGCCATCTCTCAATGAATATTTTTTCCAGGTTATTCTCAATGAATGCAATTCACTCCTTTTATTAGGATTGTTTGGGCCAAGAAGGTTGGAACCAACAACCTCCTACGAGTTTGTACATTTAGAGGAAACACTACTTGTCGGAGACTGGCGGCCTAAGATTGTTTGGGCCAAGTTAAAATGGAATCGAAGCTCAGTAAATAACTGAAAATAATGCAGCTAACCTCTAATCACTGAAGGGCTGTGGCCCGGTCGCATAAAAGTACACTTAAGTGGGTACTTAAGTGAGGCACGTAAGAGTCAGCTAAGTGCACCCGTAGGAGTGTTGCATAATGCATACTTATTTTATTCTCGTAAGTATGCGAGTTAAGGGAAGACTTAGGTGCATATAGCTACTCACATTTTATTGATTAATAACTTTGCATGTGAAGTGGAAAAATGAACCAAGCACAAAGAAAGATGTGTTAGATAAGTTTATAGAATTAGTTCCACAACAACAATCCTTAAATGTTATTTACACACAATAACAAGTCATTCACTCTTATATGGCATTTGAATGTACTTATCACATCAATGTTTAACCTTCTGTCCATAATATTGTCATTTGAGGTCGAGAAGTCTCTCCTTTTTGTGATGAATACGCATTTTTATATCGTGTTCTTCCATGAGATGTTGTATTGTGTTCTTCCATGAGATGATGTCTTCTACTGTGTTTTTCTTTGCACATAATGATACTGACTGGTCCGGTTGGTGTGTCTCATTGAAATCCTCTGCTTCACTCTGCTTGGACGACGCCATGTCTGGTGATGGAGGAGTGACACATACATTAGAGGTTTTGGGATTGAGGGAATTCGTTAAGAGGCATGGCGAATTCGGCAGTCTTTCACGATCATTTGTTGTCGTGTTATTGACAGTAGATGCACGTTGTACAGATGGTGTCGCTCCAGAGTCTATTCCGCCTGGAATAGAGGTGAGGGTAGGATTGTCCTTGCCTAATATGTCTGTTACCAGTTCACCAATTGTTGTCCATTCAATTGCCCTGCCACCTGTCTTTCTCTTTTGGGCATACTTCACTTTAGTTGAGGAGGAAATATCTTCCCACTTTTTCTTCAACTGTTCCTTGGTTCGATGTGGATATCCAGTCCCAACTAATTTTTCCCGAACTGTTAGCCATGCTTTTGTTTTCATTTGAAATGTAAGTGTTGAGCTCAGCATTCCAAATAAAGATTTCTTTCTTTGTTTAATTTCACGCAAGAGGAAAATGATTTCATCTTGTTTAAAATATGGCGCACAGCTCTTGGTTGACTTGATGTTTCCATCGCATTGCTGTTATGACATGTTTATGAGCAGAGCATTGAATATGTGTAAATACCAGTGAAATGTAAGATATTTAAATATTTTCATTCTATTGTTGACCACTATTGTTGACAAAGTGATGTAGTTAACCTGTATCATATACTGTATAGGCAATGCATTCTTTAGTTATATAGGGTGTCCCAAAAAAAACTATTGAAATAACGTATTGTTAGAATTTGAATGCCACAGCACTTTGCTGAACCCACGCTTGACATAAATAAATTTTATGCATGGAAGCTATTTACAAGTGTTTTGTTTCGTTTGCATAGTTATTCGCCTTTATGCTATTTTAAATTCCCAAGAGCAGAAAATCGTGCGCTTTACAAAGATATTTTAATTTCTTAATAAGTCAATATTTAATATATGCACCCTTGTCAATATTTCACACATCTTTGCATTCAGCTTAGTGCTAGGGCATTCAAATTCTAACAATACGTTATTTCTTATTAATATTTTTTTGGGAGTTCCTGATTTACTTACTATGTTATAATAGCTATCATGGCAGTCAGAAAGCCAAACACTTGTCGTAGAAAATTGGTTGTACATAATGCACATATTGAACCAACTCCAATCCTTTGTCAATGAAGAATTGGGAACCAGATCAGTGTTTCGAGGATGTAGAAGAAAAAGAAATAGGCAATTTCACCATGACCAATTCAGTTAATTAGCACATGACATTCAGACCAGATGATAGTTGTATCTGTTGAGTGGCATTCTTGTGACCTAGCAATTAAGACACTGATTGGCTAAAAGTGCAAGCCAACTGGCATTGTTTTTGGTAATGAAACAGGGCCGGCTAACATCCTGCTTATCTACTGCTAAGCCAATTATGTTTTAAACCTTTTCTATGGTAAATTGTATGCATATGTATACTTAATTATTTCCATTCAGTCTCATATTGATTTGCAAACTTGTATGTTAATTAGAATTGGATTGGAAATCAGGAGAAGGTTCAGGGAATGACTGTAAAAAGAGGAGAGAGGGAATCCAAACAAAACCTACCCAGCAGAATTTGAAAGAAATCTGCTTACAGTGTTTTTAAAAGTAAATTCCTATCTAGCGAAGCAGGTATTTTATGATTTTATTCATATACATTGTCATTGATTACAGAATACAGTACGTACATGTTACATCTGTGTTGAATTGCATAATACACAGTATTTGTATACAGTACGTACAAAAATGAAATATGTCATATATGTATAGGTTATCTGAATTTAAGTGTTACTGATGATAATGGTATTATAACATTTAAATGTTTGAACATTTTAACTTTCATAGCATGGGCAGATTTACTGGGGGGTTAGGGCGCTTAACCCCCTCCTAGAATCTCTCTAACCCCTCTAATAAAGTGTTCAACCCCACCAAAATTTTGTATGAAAGGCTTCAACCCAAATGCCCAACCCCTGCTGTACCTCACTGAGTGGTGCTGTTTACACCCCACCAGAAATTTTTTTACCCCTCCTTGTAAATAAATGAAAATCCGCCTTTGTTTCATACTCCATACACTACATTATGTAGTTTCTAACACTATTAATTAGCAAGAATTTGCACTAATGATAAAAGTTTACTAAAAGCCTGTGTGGGTGGAGTGGGTAACTCCAGTGTTTATTTGGGAATGTGTATATTATATATAGTATAGGTAACCATGCAATGGTGAGTACAATTAGGTACGTTACTTGTTTAGTATTAGCATGACAATTAAATTGGATAATTCTCAATGTCAAGATCATATTTTCTCGCCAAAGCCCAGTCCTGCCAGACTTTCAACCAAAATTTGGTGCTTTTGTTCATATTTTCATTTAGTGCTGATAAATTTAACAATGAAGTTGCAAGTTTTATCTTTCTGATTTTGTTCTCCTTCTTTGTATTTTTACAATTAAAATGTTAGTAATGAAACTTAAAGAGGATGGTGTCAGTTGTGCTTATATTCAAAAACAAGGAAATCTGGCATATCAACAGCTGAGTCAGGAAGAAAGGCAGGAGTACGAAACGCTTGCTGCAAGTATGAATGAGACTTTGTTGACTTCTCCTTCTGGCTCTTTGTCAAAAGATAAAATGAGAAGGAGAATCATAGCTAACATTGAAACAAATGTAAGTTTAATTTCCTGTTTTAATTTTAGTAACTAATCAAATTATTTCATCGAACAGCTACCAAATTTCCTATTATACTACATTATATAGATGAAACAACTCGAAGAGCTGGGATGCCCATCTGTTTGGGTAGACTATGGTGGAAGGGTACCCGAATGCCTGTATTCACCGCAAATGGTTGAGCTTTCTTAGAAGTTCGCTCTCCTGATCTCTCCAATTGGAACTGATACAAGCAAAATCTCTGAGTAAAAATACCTATGCACAAATGTCATGTGCAGGGTTCTGCAGTTATATGCATTTTCTGTATAATGTAGAGTAATTATACCTGGCGAGTTATCTCTCAACTCGTTAATTTCTGAACTGGTGATTTCAAGCAGTTCTGCACACCTTTGCTTTTGTGCTTTTAATAACAGTACTAAAATGAAAAGATAAAGGCCTAAAATCTATAGGAACTTAAGACTCAAATACTATATTTACACAAGTGCATATAAGTATCACAGATATGCCAGCCATGCTTTACCTATTTTTGATCTTTGTTTCTTTGCATAAAAATACAAAGCATCTGACAATATGTTTTCTCGATGGCTGGCAGTCATTTCTTTTGTCATCTTTCTAAACAACCTAAGATAAGACCAAAGTCTTTCCATGACTTCTCCGTCAACCATTCCCCACCCTTCAAGACGTCTTGGACTGTACAACAGTCCAACAGTCTAAAAGACAAAAACTTCAATGAAATAATAAAATAAATAACACTGAATACATAATGAAAAATAATGTAAGTCATAGTAGGAAATGCACGATTTCATTTTATATAATTCAACTATTTTGTAAAAGCACCAAATTTAACCGAATACAATATCTAAATAATTATATAATATCATTTTTATATATTGTTTAATCAGCATGAAGTAATTCACTGTGAAAACAAAACTATGCACCTGACAAGTTGCACCATGACCGTAAACATGAAATTGCGGGCAAGCAAGCTGAATCTGGCTTAGAAGATCAGTCATATTTTGCTTCTAAAAGAAATAAGATAAAACAGTTTAATTAGTAAAACTTTATCATTAAACTGTGCTTTTAAACAGGAGAACATGCCTGGATCTGCATAGTCGAGAGCGAATACACGAAGAAAGATGTTTTAAAGTAAATATTTTTTTGTAATTAATTTGGTGTAATTATGTTACTTTAGCTATACATATTTGCATCTACATAAAATTGTAATCATATTTGTACTTTAAGATGTTCTTTGAACAAGCAGCAGATGTCATACATGAAGTGGATATCGATATTATTGCCTTTCCTTTCAATCATATCCTTTAACATGTAAACTGCATAACCAAGCCTAAATTCACATGGAAAACCATTAAAAATATTTAAAAAAAAACTATACTATTTTATTGTATAGTGTACAGAAGGGAACTTAAATTGTCATATATTACAATAAGATGTTCATGCGTATCGACTCACATATCTGCACGTGTTTTAAATCTAACAAGCATTTTTGACCATTCTAAAAATAAGCATAAAATGGCCTGTTAGACTAATTTCACTTCAGTTGCCAGTCGCTCGTAGTCGTGAATAGGGAGTTTAATAAGCTTCGCGTTTCCGGGAACGGCAAACGGCAGGTTGAAACTTTCTTTGCCAAATTTTCTTTAAATGTTTTCGTTTCATGTTTTCTTTCTTGTGTCGAAAGAATTGTCATGTATTTCAGTTTTAAAACAGCAACTTCATTTACTCTTTATTGCCTGATTCCGTAAAATTTTTCTTTGCCTGGCGTTTGCTGTATAACGCGAAGCGTAAACTCTCTATTATTGCGTATTTCATTTTCGAATTATTTCCTATTAAGTCTACAATTTTGTTGTTCTATTAACTGTGCTTTACCTTGGGAATAAAAACAAAAAAGTTCGAACCTGCCTGATTACAATAGAATTCGTTGGTTACCGTATCGCATGGAATTCTTATTGTAATAAACCAGAATTTAAGTTAGCCCCTCCCTTCTGGATACAACAAAAATGATTTTGGCGGAATAGCTGTTCTAGTTTTTCCGCTATAATATTAAATCAAACAGCAGTATTTTTTTTTGGAACACCCAGTATATATTATAAAATTAATGTGCTACATATACTGTACCATATTCAAAATATTGAAATCTATCTGATGCTGAACGCTTATATTTTGATTAGATTTAATATATCCAAATCTGGTAATTAAGATTATGCAAATCGCATCCAGAGTGCGCCCAAAATACAGTCACAGTATAATTATGTACCTCTCTCCCCCTTTTAGATTCAAAAACTTCATGGGAATTCCATGTTTACAACTTAACCCACATACAGCTGTTTCATCCAGAGCCTCATAACATCCTTTGGACCTAATTTCTGACCCTGCTTGAAAGTCATTACAATCCTTAAAATAAGAAAAAATCATCTAATCTAAGCTAATCATTGTTTTTTTATTGTCTACAATATAAATAACCACACCAAATGCCATGTGTGTACTCAGTCATAAGTAGCCTAAGTCTATCTTTCAGGTTTCTAACTGAAGTGGTAAAAATATCTTTTACCAAAGGTGCCATGTTATATAAGGCAACTTTTAATGGCACTTACGGTTACAATCCAATTGTAAGAATGGGAATGTGGCCCTCATATATTCTACTAAACTGTGGCCTTTGCTCACAATTTTTCTCACAATAACCTAGCTCAGTGCAGACATTCCAACCTCCGATTCCTCAAAACCGGCACACTTCCCAATTTTCTCATTTTACTTAAATAAACGCCTCCCTCGAATAAACGCCTCCCTCGAATAAATGCCGCAGACCTGCCAAGTTCGGAAGATAAGAATGCGTGACCAGGGCCGTTGCGAGGACTTTGCCTTGGGAGGTTAGATTTACCGCCCGAATTGTTTCAATTTACCTGATTTTGCGACGCCCGCGAGGCGCCGAGCAAAAAATTTTGAAAATTTGAATTCTCTAGACCGTCGGAAATAGCAGAGTCTTTCCTACCCAAGATTTCAATGTTTTACTACTGCCTAACAATGAAGATAAGTAAAATAACTACTGATCAATATGACAGTGTTACTTACAGTTCAATGTGACTAGGAAAATTGAAAGAATTTTGGAAATTTGGAGTCTCCAGATCGTCAGAAAGCGTATTTGGCCATGTACCCCCAGGCCACGATGCATCTGAACGTCTTTATTTGGTTGGTCGATTGTTAACTCTCAGTAATTCTACATTTGCACACAGCGTTGTCAATGAGTTATTGTACGAAAAGTGGGATAGCGTCATATAATGGTAAAAATGCGTAACTTTAAGATCATTTTAGTCATGCGTGCGGGACAGCAGGAACAAAAGCAGAATGCGTAACTTTCACGCGAAATGCGGGAACCTTGGCAGGACTGAATTGCCGCGCTTTTCTCAATGATGTGGTGTCTATTTGGGTTAGTGTTGAAATTGGCTGAGTTGAAACCCATAAGTAATATAACATCTTCTCAACAAGCTTTAATTTCATTGAAGTACTGTACTGGCGAAATTGTTTCGTTTTACTATCATGCTATGATCAGTCACTGATCCTCTCGTATTCAAGAGCCCGCGATTATTGCGCCCACTTCTGTTACGCTGCTTTACTTCATGTAGCCCTGGCAAAATGAATAGGAATTGAAAGCGAATGCTAAATTGTCAAAACAACATATGTCACTCTCAGTCTCTGGTATGTCACGAGAATTACAACGATCGGCAACAAACTCGGCAATTGTTTGGGGCAACTAGAAGCTCCCATTTCATTAATATGTATTGAACCAAACGAATTTCATTAATATTTGTCACATGAGCCTTATTTGAAGAATACAACTATTAAAATACTACAGAAACCGGGACAATAAGAAGAAAACCGGGACACCGGGACAAAATAGTCCAAACCGGGACAGTCCCGGGTAAACCGGGACGGTTGGAATGTTTGTCAGTGTGTTATAGAATAGTGCAATGTTAAACTGATTTTTGGTAAAATTATGCACTTTATTAAGAAATCACCAAATTTGACACAGTTAATTTAGATTTGGAGGCATCTCATATTTGATCATGGTTGCGAAGAAACAGCACACTTTGAAAGAATTCCTAATACGTAGTAATATGTTCCTTCATATTGCAAAAAGTTGAAATTATACTAGATATCACCAATTGGAAAAATCACAAAAAAAGCTATATATAGAGAGCATTGAATAAAGTACTATATAAGTATAGAACACTGAAATTGTGCTTTCTTCACAAAATGCATGACTTTCAATCTTATCGATCCACTGGACTAGAAATTACATTGCAAGTTGAAGCAACAGTTGCCCCATGCAGCATGGCATTAACATATTCGGACAGTATTTTACATTTTTACTGAATTACTGGTAATACAATATGTTACCTTTGATTGCTGTGATTCTTTGGTAGATTTTGGGTATAAGGACATAAATTGATCGACATCTTGTTGCTCATAAAAATACACCTTTGCACTTAAAGGCTGTCGATAGCTAACACCTGATGCCTTTTTCCTTGGTAAACCAAAGCAAGCATCAGCAGAAACAAAGCATTTGCCATCGGTCTACAAAAAATATGGCATACAAAATAGACTATTCAGATAGGATGTTGTAATTAACATAATGTCTTTAAAACTACCTGTTATTCTGAACTGTATCACATAGCATGTTAAATAAAGATCATTGTTAGTTACTTGGTTAGAATATAACCAAGAATATAGGGGTAATCCACATGTACTATATAATTAGTAACCTTAGGGCAGGCAGGACATTCTACTGCAACACTAGTGACATCTTCTGCCTCATAGCTGTACTCCTTTTTGGTCCTCAAATGATATCTTGAAACACATAAAAAAATAATATATTTGTTAGCTGTGCACAATAAAATTTTACATTATAATTTAAATTGTTGTGATTTTACACATCAATTATATGTCAGTAATTAGCATATATGTAGTTACCTATATTCTTCAAAACTGTCGATGAACTGGTCATAAATTTTCTTTTTCTATTAAATTAATGAACCATGATAAATTATATAGCCAACTGTATTCCTTCATTTTGCTCATATTATGTAACACTGGACACTTGCTGAACTATTTCATGAACTTGTTAGGTTACCTCTCATTCGATTAATTTTACCTTCAGAATTGGATTCTTAAAGAAGTCCAAAGTTTTCAACATATCATGAATAGATACATGGCATTCCATCATGAACCGCAAGGTCATTTCCATTAATTGGAATGTGAATCCCAGATTAGGTTCAACAGGAGTTGCTGGCCAAATACCACAGTGAAGCAAACTTTCTGGTACACCAAAACAATTGCAATATTCAAACAATATTTCATGATGAACACCTAAAGACAAGAACAAGAGATGAATTGAAAGTAAAATAAATCTGGACTGTTAACTCTCTTAATTCAACATAAAAATTTAAAATTAAAAACAGACAGCAAAGCTCCACACGTTTCCTGATGAAAAACACATTTATGCCCAATATTTCTTCCTCGAAACACAGAATTGTCCGCAAACAGTATCAACTTCATAATTCCTAATCTGTTTCAGAAATGGGGATTAAGACTACAACAGTACTGTACATTACCATTCAGATCAACAACTGTGATTGGCTTCAAGTATGTTCCTGTGCACTGATGTCTTTCATTATGGATAACTCGACCTGGAACACAGTATTGATTCCACAAACCTTCCTTTAAATAAAAAATAAAACAAATGTTTTATATGATAGTTTACAGTTTAATTTACATTTCATAGGTATGGCAGGACTTATAATACCCTTTTTAACCACTTTGCATTGACCTATATTTTATGAACATTATATATAATGATAATCAGGACCCAATTATAATTGTGATTGTAAAGAAAATAAAAAATATCTGGAGTACCTTTTTCATATGCTCTGATTTGATAGTGTACAAGTACCTTGCGAGCGAGCCTGATTTAAAATAAAAATAAGAAAATAAGAAAATAAGGCTCTGCCAATTAGCTTGTGTTCCAGTGCACACACACAACGGTATAGTGGACTGGAACACAGGCTTAATACTGCCATTAAGCTAAGATACTTTATTCCAAGAGAATAACATTTAATACATAATACATGTATAGTATCCTATGAGGCCCTCAATCACAACCAATTAACACCAAACACACTATACAAAGATAACACTTTAAGTACAATACACTAAAGTTTATAACACGTACAGTACATTCCACAATATGTTTACAGTTGGTGCAAGAAAAGTATTTAACTAAGGTGTCCATGTTCAACTGTATAAGCTTAAAAACAAGTTCTTGAAGTTAAATGTGTGTCATATAGATTCGGAAATGTTCTGTGTTTTCATTATTGTAATTGTACAGCACATGCAGGATGTAGCTATAACATGAAATTGGCTCTCAAAATAGCACACATCCAAAAATACAAGTGATTCTATTTTGACTTATTTTGACATATTAGAAATAAATCATGCTTAATGGGAATGGCAGACCTTACTTTCCTTTCTCTGGAAACCAGGCTCTGCTTGCATGGTGGTGTACAGGTTTATATGTCATGAATGTTCAGCAATGAATCAGCAATGTAAATTTGTGTTATGCCAAGACAAATTACAGTTCAACATGATCACATCAAACTTTTGTACATGCACCCTGGGTATATTAACAGTCTATACAGTCTTGTTAATGATCAAACTGGACTATACCTATACGCAGTACAGACTGCACGTGTTTAGGCTTGTACAGTCTATAAGATATTGTACAAATATGTCATTTTGGTTATTATCCACAACATATATCATAAAATGTACTTAATGATACTGGAAAAAACTATCAAAATTTTAAAAACATCATAATAGTATACCTTAACATGTACTTTATCAACTACTGATGTTTTTTTTTAAATTTTTATGCATTTTACCATTAAAAAATAGACTTTTAGTAGAGAACCTGAAAATCTGTCCATTGTTTGCAGCTGGTTACCATGGAAACGGAATTCAAAAAACCTCTGAAAAGGCCGTTTTTCTGGGCCATTTTGATAGAATATATTCTGCTAAATCGCTATTTTGTCGCTATATTTTGTTGTATTTTTTGCTTGTAATAATGCCAAAAGGTTCTAAAGAAGGCACAAAGTTGCGTGTGAGAAACAAATCAACGAAGCAAAACCGTTTCAAAGGGAAACGTTTCGCTGATTTGCGCAAAGATGGCAAAAATAATGGCTCTCAATCTGCCAGCCAACAAAACGCAATTACTCAAAGATCGAGTGATAAATAACGAAGATTTGGTTACTGTAAAGTCAACATCGGCAAGAAAACTGGAGAATGCTAGTTCTGAACTACCCCAAACTCCCGAATTTACAAGACAGAATTCACAAGAGGAAAAAGACGGATACCGGATTGTTTATATTGAGAACATACGGAAAGCTGTTGAAATGATGCACAAATGTAAGAATGGGACAATCATAACTTGTGAAGATGTTTCAAAACGTGCTGGATTGAGCAGCAGCTACTATTTTGAATGCACCAAATGTAGACAGAGAGTGGACATGGATACTTCGAAGCCAGTCGAGGGAAAAGCTCGTTCTTTTGATGTAAATCGGAGAACAAATTTTGCCATGGGTGAGTTGGGCTTAGGCAGAGAGGCTCTTGCAACCATTTGCGAAATTTTAAATATGCCACCCCCAGTAAGTGATAGTGCTTATGAAAAACATAATCGCTCGGTGAACTTAGCAACACGAAAAGTTTTGGAAGAAAGGTTGAAAGATGCCGGCCATTGAGTACGCACATTCCTGCAGAAGGATGATGCAGAAATTCTTGATGTTGCCGTGTCATTTGATGGTACATGGAGCAAAAGGGGCTTCACGGCCAACTATGGAGTTGGAATTGTCATTTCTGCTGATACTGGGGAGGTCTTGGACTATGTTGTTTTATCAAAGGTCTGTGAACTTTGCAAAGCTGCAGAGAAACACAAAAGCAATCGCGATAAATACCAAGAGTGGAAAGATGCTCATGTGGCCAGTGGACTGTGCCAAAAGAATTATAATGGTTCTAGTCCTGCTATGGAAAAAGAAGCAGCCAGAATTTTGTGGAGTAGATCTGTCGAGAAGCACAAGTTCCGGTATATTGATATGGTATGTGATGGTGATAGCAAGGCATATGGAGAAGTGTGGGATATATATGGGGTTTGTGATGATTGTGAGAAATATGAAAATATGGACAAACAGTCAGCAGAGTACCAAAAGTGGTTGAAATCGAAAGCACATGCTAATTGGGAGAGAGAACATAGCACAAGCAATGAAAATTGCCATCGGGTTAGCAAGCTTGATTGTGTCGGACATGTGCAGAAGCGTATGGGCAAAAACCTGATAGCTCTGTCTGGAAAGTCAAAGCTCGCAAAATGGTAAACCAGTGGGAGGAAGAGCAGGAAGACTCACCAGGCCTATGATTGACAAACTGCAGAAATATTATGGCAATGCCATTAGACGGTGCGTGGACAAAAAAGCGAAAAGTAAACAAGAAGTGGAGGATGCAGTAAAGAGAATGCAATGTGCGATAAAAGGAGTATTGTACCACAGCGTGAAGATTGTGGTTGAAAAGAAGAGGCATCAGTACTGTCCTGATGGAGAAAGTTCCTGGTGTTCAATCAAGAGAGACAAAGCAGTAGGAACCAATACTCCTTTTCTCGACAAGTCACACCATCTGGATCCAGTCTTTTTAGAATTTTTAATACCGTTATTCGACCGACTTAGTGAGAAGAAGCTGCTGAAAAGGTGCTTACCAGGGCTCTCACAGAATGCTAATGAGTCTGTCAACTCACTTGTGTGGAACAGATGCCCTAAACATAGGAACAGAGGGATAAAATCTGTTGAGACAGCAGCTGCCTCTGCAATCATGCAATTCAACATTGGTGCGGCTGGTCGACATGGCGTCATGAAAGAGTTGGAGATCTCTGGTGGTTACTATACAAAAGCTGGAAGTGGGAAAAAGAATAAGAAGAGAGTGAAGCAAACAAATGCAAGAGCCCAAAAGAAATTTAAAGAAGCAAGGCAGAAGATCCGACAGGCGAAATTGGTTGAAGAGGCCAGATTGAAGGCATTAGAAGGAGTAACATATCAAAGCGCGGCATTTAACGAAGATAATTTCAATGGTTCAAGGAAGAGAAAGAGGAAGACAGATAAAACTACTCCTAAGGAAGGCAAGAGCAAGCAGACAAGGAAAGAATAACACTTTAAAACAGTAAAAAACACTAGAAACACAAGTTTCAAGTCTACTTGGACTTTAACTGCCTTTTTCTCAAATTGCGATATTCGGCCGCTCATCAACTGCCCCCCAAGGCTATCTTGTTACTCTTTTAACGAAAATGTACCATTTTTGGCACACATGTAGCCCAAGGTATGTAGAATGCTCCTATTACCCATTTTTTTAATATATATTTTCTAACAGGATTTACAGTGAAAATTCTATGTGCAATCTGTTTTATATGTTACCATAGCAACCATGGTGAATGACCAAAAAATGGGTAATAGGAGCATAGTTCAATATCCTAGCTACCATCACGTGCAATTTCACTTGAATACACAACATATTGAAAGAGATTTTATGGGGGGGCAAAGTGGCCATTAGAATTTAGTTTTCTATATACTACTCTCTTCTGTGGTGTCAAATTTCAATCTGATTACGAACACTGAAATAAATTTTTGTTCCATTTTGTAGCTTAATATCTGTAGTTTCTAAAAATATATAGTTTATGCATATTTTGTCTTAAAACATGCCTGAAAACGATTGTTAAAGTTAAAGTAAATTTCAAGGTGAAGCTCCCCCTTAAACCCTTCCTCCACTCACTTCAAATATTTCGCAGACATGGAATTGCAGCTTGTTCTTATGAATAACATCACAGCATTCCTTGCAATAATATACAGAAAACCCACAATCTCTGGAACAAGTTTTTACAGGTCTGGAACAAGTTGACTCGCTACATGTTGACGGTATAAAACCTTCAATTGCTAGTGATGTCCGAAGTAACTGTTGCCTGATTTTATCCCAGTTTGAACATAATCGTTCTCTGCGTTTCTTGTACAAACGAGGCGTCCTAAACTGTGTGTCGCTATCGTAATCGGATGAATCGTCAACTGAGGAGTAATTATCGGATTTATCGCTCATGTTGTTCCATGAGTTTCCCTCATTTCTTTCGGTCTCGTCGACAATTTCTAAAGAATTTGGAGCGGGGACTCTAAAACTTGTCCTCGTGTTACTCCTCGCATCAACAACTTGGCTGCTGGAATTAGCTTCCTTTTCCCTTGTTGAAAATACATGGCACTTTTGGCACTTTGCAGTTTAATATGCTATTTGTCCGCCATTTTTAATATTATAAGCTTTACTCCCCCCCCCCCGTTTTGTATCATCTTTTAAACAATTTCCAATAACTTACTGGATACAATGTGAATATAATATATATTAGTTTATTAGATACAATGTGCGGATCGGGTGGATTTTA